TTATAGTCCTAAAGATGAGAGTACTACATACCTACATTCTGGTAGCAAAAATGCACAATGCCCATTCAGAGAATTGTGGGAATATATTCTGTTAGGTGCATTGAGACGCCTCAATCACGTGATAAGGCAGTATATTAAATGCAAGATTTCTTATTGTTATTAATAGTAAATAATGCCAGCAGATGACATGCATGTTATATCTGGTTTGAACAGTTGTTGTAGTTTCAGACTTAATTCCTAACTAATAATTTGATCATATCTATCGCTAATCCTATATTTAAATGAGAACTATCTTGCAAAGTGTGAGCCTTTAGTGCATCCTTGTGTTCATTTATAGGTGAAATTATTACCACTTTACATTAACAAGCTTTCTGCCATATCCAAGACCATTGCACATTCGATATTTGAATGTTGCTTAATTCCTAGATTGCACGGAATATGAATATTCATGTTGAATATTAGTTACTGCTGGATTTGGTTGGAAATGAAATGTGAATATCTTTGACATTAATGCAAAGTTATGTTCTAAACTGGTTATTAATAATAATAATCCTTGCATTTGATACAGCACTTTTCACATCTTCTAGACGTCTCAAAGCGCTTCACAGAATAGATTGTAAAGTGAATTGACTGTATATTTTGTGGACGAAATAGTAGATCCTCCCAGCAGAAATTTTATTGTGATAATTTGTGATCGTTACATCAACTTTGTTAAAAACTGTTCACATCAGAGATATAGTGCATGATTTTGTTCACATATTATCAAAGCTAATTGCAAAACAAAACCACCGACAATAATGCTTGATCCTGATTATCTTATGAAATTTTCACTTTTCGGTAATAAATGTTGATCAACTTTATACAGACCTGATTTAACAGTTTCACAATATTTGCTATGGATTATTCACTGGCTGCACAAGACTTCAACCAGTTGTATGAATATCATCAATTCTTAAACTGTTTATCAAAATTCGAAATGCTCTGTAGAAACAGATGGTGCTAAACAATGAAATTGCTTGAATGTATCAATGAAGAATGTGGAGTTTAGTATAAATTTTCTAGAACTACCATAAAATTAATTTTAAAAAAAATTTATGGCAGCCAAAGTAAATTAATTGGTACCTCGGTTTTTGGGTCGTAAAATTGTAACTTATGCTCTGGATCTTATTAGATAATGGATTAATTAGATTCTGCGTAATTCTGGAGTGTTGGTGACTTGCCCATGAAATGCTTAGATGTGATTTGGTTGTTGCATTACACTTATTAATTCAGGGCAGTGTTAAGTGTAAGCCAGATGTTTTACCTTGAGGGGATAATCTGAAGGAATTTGGGGCCAATCTTTCAGAATAGTTATCAGCTAATTATAGGCAATGTATGTAGAAACGTGGGAGTAGATCAGTAACCTCGCCTCTTTGCCAAGGGAGGTATGAGTCATGGGATTATTTTAGGGGAAGGAAGAGAAGAAATACTATATTTAAAACAAACAACTAGATTTGGGTTAATCCGACCTTGCAGGATCGAGGATCATGTCATTCTTCTTGCTCTTTTTGGCACCATTACTAAAAAAAAGTTGTAATGCTACCTACGTGACCCATGTGCTTTGCATTTCTTATTCATAACAGATCGGTGATGTGTAGTTGTCTGGATAATAGCCACTTTTATTTCCCAAACTGATATGCTGGTAATTTCTACCTTTTAAGCAGTGGAAGAGTAAAGGTTACTGAACTCCATTGATTTTTGTTGGTCAAAAGTGTGAAGTGCTCATTGTCAGAATATATATTGGTAGGTATCGTCAATAGAATTAGCACCGACTGTTAATGAGATGAGAATTTTGTACACCATAATGGTGACAGAAGGAAGTGGGAAGCCTAGTGAGTGTCAAAGTGAACTGAGAAGCTTAAGGAAGAGTAGATTTAACTTCTCTTTTAAAGTTAACTCATTGACTCCTGTTTCCATAACCTAGAAACTAAAATGAGTTTAAGAACTGATTTGGATTTGCTTTTATATGTTCCAGTGTGTGCAGTGTGCACACGAATACGGCACCATTATTTTGCAAAATGTACTTACTATTTTCTCCATTCCCTTCCCGTAAAAATAAATATATTTCCATAACTGATAAAATAGGTATTTTCCAGGTGGTGTGAGTGGTAGAGTTTAGTTTCTTGTTTGCTCTCCCTCCCCCCATGTAGTAATGGCTCCTCCCACTGAAGTCCTGGCTAAAAGTAGAAACTTGTTGTGGGAAATATTATACATAAACAGTGTCTTGCTTTTTTGTGATGCAACATGTTAGCATGCTATTGAGTTACTTATATTAAGCATATTCGAGCTGAAGTTTTTTTTTCAGAAATGAATCTGACTTATACTAGCCAGTGGCCTGCTACTTAATGGTTTCATATTAATTTAGGCACACCTTGAGCATGTTTTTGAAAGTCCTTTATAAGGACCAGAGTTACTGAATTAAAAGATGTCAAAGTGCAGTCAGTCAAAGAAAGCCTTGAGGCGGAACTTGAAGGAGACAAGGGAAGGGGCGAGTTTATGTGCATGTGGATTCCTTGTCTGATCATCTCACCCTTAAATCTCCCAAAGCTTCTGCTCTACCGTAACATTCCACATCCACCAATTTGGGGATACTATCTCTGTATTCCCCATCAGTGAGTTGGCCGCCCATGATTTCAGCCAATTTCACACTGAAACATGACACCCTACACTGTTGAGTTTTAAAACTGAAGGTTCAGATTAGAAAATGAAAGTTGATTTTAAAAACACTTATGTTATGTAATACTAACTTTATCTAAGATAAATTACTTAATTGGATGTGAAAGTTGACCAGTAAGTGCTGACATTTTGCTTTTTATATTTTATTACTATATTCTTGCAACCCAATTTTATTAGAGTAAAACCCAAGGACTTTGTATGGGAGTAAATTATCAGGTTGACTAAACCCTGAATAAAGTTAAAGAAAGGGATGATGGTGTATTAATTTTTTTTAATGCATCTGTGATTTTCTGTTGAAGTAATGAAGAGGTTTAAGCTTTGGGAACCGTGACTTGTATTGATTTCTGAGGTAAGGTGAAATATTGAGTTTTTTTTTAAAAAAAGTAAGTAGTGCAGCTTGGAAGAGTTTCAATTTGATTAACTAGAATAGCATAGACCAGATTTTTATGTGGCAACGTATGACATATTTTGTGTGGCTTTATTATATCGTTAGAACATTTAAGGTCACGCTTTTCAAGCCACATAAATGTGGGCCTTGTTAGTTGGTTAAAATAATTTATTAGCTCTCTTAAATGTTCCTCAGAAAGAAAACAGTGTTATCAGTTGAACTGTAGTACTAAAATCTATTTTTTGAAAGTTGTATCCATTCCCCAAAGTTTTACTGATTCCTTCAGTATAGAACGGTAACACAGATTTAGTAAAATAGCATTTGTGGAATAGATCCTCTAATTTAGAAGATCCTACAGCTGAACCTTCTAGTGATTCTTTAGACCAAAATTGAAATGTACAGGAATTTGTAATGCTATTTTTAGATTGCTTTTTCAGCTTTATTCTTCCATATGTCAATATGTGCTTCATGAATGTGTGCGTGAATGTTGTTTATCCAGTCCAGGGATTGTTTGATTTATTATCTTTTACACTTAATTAATTATTCAATCCAATTTTAAATGAACACACTGATGCATAGTGTAACTTTTGTTTCATAATCATATCTGCAGCGAAAAGATTAAAATATTTTTTTAATCCATGAACACAGTATACAGAATTCTGTTAATATACAATTGTGAGATATTAAGATTGAAGAGTGAAGAGGAACTTTGAATTTATTCTTCACCTGTCATGAGTGGCTAATTATTCAGCGTTGCCCATCTCTTTGAAATGTCATCTGGAAACCACATGATCTCCATTCCTAACCTTTGAGGCTCATGTGGACATCTGCAGTTCTTTCATCTCGCTGTCAGTGCAACATATGAGAAATGAGAGTGAAGTTTTAAGTATGAATTTGCTCAGAATGTACAAAAGATGCTTTGGTATATTTATTTTTCTATGACAATTGAATATATTGAGAATGATATTACTATGGATGGTTCATTCTTGAACTCATTCGAGTTTTTCACCTAGTTTTTGTAGCCGGCATATCGTTGTCCTGGTTCACTCTTTTTTTAAAAAAAATTTAAATGATTCCATTTACTGATTTATTTTACAGCAGGGTCAAGGAACTCATTTAATTTCTTTGATTTCTTTAATTTCCATAACCGTTTGAATATATAATTTTTGAAATTAGTTTTTAAACAATTGTCCTTCTAATTCACATCAAGCCTGAAGTTAAAGGTGAATCTTACTGCATTTCTCCCACAAAATACACTGTAAAACCACTTTACAGTATATTCTGCGAAGCGCTTTGAGATGTCTAGATGATGTGATAAGCTGCTATGTCAAATATGACGATTCTTAAGACATTTTTGAAGAAACACTAAATTTTTTTAACTAAACATGTGAATATTTTAGAAGTGACTGCTGATTTATGTTTTTATCATTAAGAAGGTAACTATTGCAACCTTTGCAGTAATAAAGCACTCTCAGACGCCGTCTGGAGTGGAGGGCGCTATATAAATCCAAGTTATTGTTGAATACCTCAGAGAATCTTCGTATCCTGTCTAATATTCAAAAATGAAAGTTATAAAAAGTTGTTTTAACGTAACACAGATTTCTATCTCACTTTAAGGACTCTATAAACTTAAGACTTGAAAGGAATTTCTCGGAGGTTTTTTTTATAGAGATACATAAGGGACTGTACTTGATGTGATAGAGGAGCTAAATTCAAAACAAAGCTTTTGGTTACTTTCAGATATGCCAATGCAGCAGAAAAGAGGCACATGTTTGTTTGTGAAGGACAAACCTAGGACAAACATCAAGAACATTTTTTTTACATTACAGCTGAGTCCAATCACATGCTTACCCAATGCTATCAACAGATGTACACAACTTCCAGCAGAGGGAAGTCACTGGCTGATGATAGTGAAAAGGCTGACTATTTTTTCCCCCTCAATTCCCATCTTTAGGCAATTGAAAGTGACTAGGATATTTCCTATGTGACTGAAATCAGTGAACTTTATACACGAGGGATTGAAAATTTAATCTTCCTGATGCTTGGCTCAATATTGCTCTGGGTTGTGGAGTTAACAATGGAGCCATAGGTGTAACATTGTGTTTTCTAATGTGCTTAAAATCTTTGTTCTCACTTGTATTATTTTTCAGCTTTATTAGCTACAATCGTAGTGACACTTACTTTTCAATTTCTTCTGAATCAGTGCATCATGTTTTGGAAGTTCGATCTTCACACGTCATCGCATATAGACACACTTCTGGAGAAGGAAGATGTGACCCTCACAGAGTTAATGGATGAAGAAGATGTTTTACAGGAATGTAAAGCTCAGAACCGTAAACTGTTGGACTTTCTGGTTAGATCACAGAGTATGGAGGATCTGGTCACATACATCACCCAGGAACCACCAGAAGAAATGGATGAAAAGATGAAATACAAGTGAGAAATTATTAACCCATTTACAGGAAATGTCTTTCAAATGGTAGCAGCCATCTGTGAACCATCTGTACAGTTTTAGTCTTTAAAAACTGTAGCTTGCTAAATAATAATGTAAAGGCTGAAAATGTTGTCTTTCCTTGCACAGCATGAATACTGTTCCACTTTTTGCTTTTGAAAAGTATTTGCCCCTATCACATACACCACATGCAGGAAAACTGTGTGAGAAGTGCTCATGATAATGTTGGTTTGCTTCTTTGAAAGTGCTTGCTAACAATTACTTACCCAAAAAATCCTAAATGTGGGTGTTCTGTCCTTCAATTTGTCGGCGGATGTCCAAGAGGCCAAAATAGCCAAAATCTGGATCATCTGGTCATTGCTGATGTTGCTTCCTGCACACTGTGGAGTGGATGTGGAAGCACTGACCAGAGATTGGCACGCTGTTATCGTGCTGGTTGGAAAATTATGTATAACTGTTCAACTGAAAGAAAAAAATCATCTAGTACTATTACTCTTGCGAGCAAATGCCAATATTAGTCTTGCAGACCACATTCAAGTTGAAAGGTGGTTGCTTTCGAGCTTTGGTTGAATCAATTTAAGGAAAAATTTTTTAAATGAACATTCAATCTGATTGTTTTATCAGTTAAAATTAAACCGTCGCAAGAGACCATCTTATAATGCATGTATGTTAGGGAAATTAGCATTTTGTAAACAAAGTGCTTTTTCCTGATGGTAAATTTTCATTACATGTAAAAGTGGCCGAAACTGAGAATTCTGGTAGGTAGTTTAAATTCTTGTTTTTGTATCACATGCCAGTTGTGGATAAAGTTGAATTGTTTGACAAGTGGACAATGGGTTCATGTTGTAAAGAGCAATTTTAGCACTGACTCCACAGAGTATTTCTTTGCATGCAGGGTAATCAAAAATTGACAGGGTTTCCAAAAAGGGTGGTAGAGGTTATGATGTTTATGTACCACATTGACTTGATGCAATAATGGAAAGATGGGAGAGTCAGTATTTTAGAAGGATGAGATAAAATGGGCCAAGGGGTCTTCTTTTTGCTTTTATGAATGTGGAACGAAATGAGGATTTTTTCATAATTTGCAAATTAAATTAACCCTAACCCAAATTGGTTATTAACAGCAAAATATTGTAAATCACTTGTGGTTATATAAACTGAAGTTGGCACTGTTTGTAAAATGCTGCTATTCATTTCAGGTATCCCAACATATCGTGTGAACTCCTTACTTCAGATGTAGACCAGATAAACGACCGACTGGGAGAAGATGAGCCTTTGTTGTCTCGATTGTATACCTTTTTGCATAATGAGCCACCTCTTAACCCCTTACTTGCCAGTTTCTTCAGCAAAGTGTTAAGCATTCTTATCAGCAGGAAACCAGGACAGGTAGGAGCACGTAGCTTTAGAATGCATGATTTCTAATCAGTAGGAGTTTCTAAGAAAAGTCTGACTTAAAACCATAAATAGTTGTGTACTTTTCTGAATTGCATTCATGAGAAATATGGAATGCAAATTACTGAAAATCCAACTGATCTGTCTGTTACTTGTGTTTTGTGTTAATGCTGACTTTTCAACAAACTAGAAGTAAACTTAAAATCTGAATTCATTAGGACACATTATACAGCAAACTCCTGTTAGAATGTGCCCCAATTCCTAGTTAAGTATGGGTTTGCTTGGAACTCCATTCTACTGTGGATACACTCTTAACTAGAAGCACAGTACACCAGTTTCTGGTATAGAATAGACTAAAACAGGTCTGCCTTCTGGTCGTCAAGGTTCTTACCAGTGTTACTTCCTGCATACAACGCACTTTCCTTAAAGTGTCGCTTTCATCATTGTCGATGGCTTTCATGTCAGGACGGCCTCCCGACGTGAAAGGCGCGATATAAATGTAAATTGTAAGTGACATCAGCAATGCATCTTGCCTGTAGATTTTCTATTAGATACAACTGTACAGTGTGGGAAGCTTATCTCTTAATGCTCCAGAAAAGCTATTTTTGGAGAGTGATTCTTGACAATTGTTTATTTGATGCACCTCAATGCCCCATTAAGGGTAGTATGTTAAACATAACGGAAAGAGATAACAATTCATATCTAGACATTAACCCTCCAGGTTCACTGTAGAACATTGAAAGTGGTTGTAGGAATGGATTTTTCTCGAGCAGTCTTATTCCCATTTTGCCTTGAACTAATAGTGTAAGTTCATGATGATTGAGGAGAGTAGTCTTTGTGAGCAAGATTGCAGAATTTAGTGCTTTGGCACATAATCTTCTGGGTTAAAAGTTTTTATAAAATGATGGTTATGATTTTTTATAGGAAATTGCTTGCAATACATTTTACCATTGAAGATTTGATTTGGATAAAATGTCAAGAAATGGGATTAAAATGGATCCCATTGTAATACATTTGCTAGATCAATATCCTGTTTGAATATCAGTAGCTAGCTTCTGGAATTATTATATTTTAAGCCTGGTGTCAGGCTGATAGAGCTACCAGAAGTCAAGCTTTTGGTTCTGACATTACCAAGATTTGGACAGTTATATAAAAAATGATATTGGAGAAACTGCAGTAATCACACACATTCCCAGTTCATTTTAGTAGACTCTTCCTATGGAAAAGTACAAGCTGTTGAGGAGTCGCCCACAACCATCTAATTCATGTGTGCACTCTGAGCAGTTTACTAATTTTTTTGTAAATTCTGAAAAAGCTTTTTGATGGCTTGAGAAATGCTTTCACAAGTATAGGAGAAAGCAAATATTTGTAAAGTCACTTCTTCTTCTTCCACTCCCATCACTCCCACGCAATTCTAGATTTTCTTAATATTTTAGTGTTTTAGCATTTAGTCAAAATAGAAATAGCCCAAATTCAATTGACAAGGTTTATTTTGTGTGTTTCTAAAAATCTTAATTGTTGACCAGAATATTTTTTTTTTGCTTTGAGTGTTGCTACTTTGCTTTTGGGTTGTTGTATGTACACTTAAAATTTGTAATGAACTGAAATGTACTTTGTTGGTACTTTTCTATGATAAATGAAAATATTTATTGTTGCATTTGATTGGAAGTGCTGTGTATCTGCTCATTAATGATTGCTTGAAAAAAACGAATACTCTTTGAAATGGTAATGGAGACAATGCTGACTAATTCCCCAAATAAGTGCTTAATTTGTAGAGGATTAATGAGATTTCTCTTTAGAATTATTACAAGTTTTTGCAGCTCTTTTTCAATATAATCTTTTATTTTGCAGATCATTGAGTTTTTACGGAAGAAAGACGCATTTGTAGGTTTGATGTTGAAACACATAGGGACCTCAGCACTCATGGATTTGTTACTTAGGCTGTTGACGTGTATTGAATCACCACAGCTGAGGCAGGATGTTTTAAACGTAAGTAGAGAAATTTTGTCTCCCTACCTACATAGGCCAGGTAGAGTAAGGATATGTTATTTTCACTTAAAATAAGCTTGTGGAATCGGCAGCTAAGTTACTGTCATCGTAAAACTAAAGTAGTGGTGGTGATAGGAGTCTGTTTCTAAAAATGATTTTAGGAAACAAACCCAAGAAATGCATATTCCTAGTTTGAAAGTTAAATTATGAATTACAATAAAGTAAGCTTCGGATTGAAAATCATTCAGTGATCTTCATCATTCCAGTTTTCTTTGAGATTTACTGCTTTTTTTAAAATCTTTGCAGTGGTTGAATGAAGAAAAAATTATTCAAAAACTAATAGAAATGGTACACCCATCTCAGGATGATGATGTGAGTAGATGTATACTTGTACTGCTGGTAACTAATAGCACATGTGGAATGTGTGTGGATACTAACACTGTACAATACTAGCTCAGTGCTACAATATTTTAATTTTTTAAAAAATAACTTTTTGTCACCTCCTGCCTCAGCTTCTCCAATAGTTCTCCCCAGTTCCACCATTCACAAAGTCCAACTGATTCTGAACTCGGATGCCCACATCCTCACCTGCACCAAACTGTATTCCATCACCCCATTTCTTGCCAGGCTGCATTGTCTTTCTGTCACACGACAGATGGATTTCAAGTTACTCACACTCCCCCACAAATCACGCTCTCAGACCTCTGACCTCTCCAAACTGCTCCAACCTTCCTTTTATCTGCCCCCTTTGCCCTTGCCGGCCCAAGCGCAGTTAGCTTTCCTCGGCCAGGTCGGGCCTTTTGTCCGCCCCTGTTCCTTCCAGCCCACCATCGGCTCGTGCCTTTAACAACTAAACCCCAAACCTGCCTGTTTCAGTCATTCTGTCTTGCCCTCCCTCGAGCGCCTTAGGACATCCTCTCAACATGAAAGACATAGTATAAATGAAATTTGTTGTTTACTTGTCTTCAAATTGTACCTGAGGACTTCCCTCTTCAATTGTGCCTAAAAGTCACCTCACAATTCTCCCTGTCGCAGTGTCAAACTCCGCCATTGTTCAGCGATCCAAGATGAAGAGTGAAGAGAGGTGTATAAATGCAATTTGTTAATTTTAATTTTGATAATTAACTTAATATTTAGGTAAAAAGACAAACATTTATGTTTCTCTGTTCTGCTTTTATACCTTTACATTTTTAAATACTGAAATTAAATGACTGAATATTTAACAATTTTTTGTTTTCTTTAGAGGCACTCAAATGCATCGCAGTCATTGTGTGAAATCATCCGCCTTAGCAGAGACCAGATGATTCAGATGCAGGGTTGTCCAGAACCAGATCCACTTCTGTCAACCATAGAGAAGTATACACTTTTGAAGAAATGATTTAAGTTTCAGCTTTAATGAAGTTAATATAAGTTGATATGTGGACTTGAGGATCCTGGTGTTTGGAAATGTGGATGAGGGAATAGCTAACTCTGTGCCTGCTGAATATATAGTAGATAAGACTAGTTATTTTACAGGTGATCAACTGTTTAATATATTAAACTATCCTTTTTTTTTCTAGGGAAGAAACTTTAGAAATCTTGTTGTCAAATGTTTTTGATAAGGAGAAGAATGAATCGGCAATTGTAAACAGTATCCAAATATTGTTGACTTTACTAGAGACTCGAAGACCTGCGTAAGTAGAAATTATCTCAATGAGCTTTCTTCAAAATCTGAAATTTAATATTAAAGCAACATGGCACTTAATATTTGTCAGAAATATGCAATTGACTTACTACATGGCATGAGATGTGCAAAATTGCTGTTGTGCATAGTTATAATGCAAAACCAATTTTTGTTTGTATTTTCCAGCTTTGAAGGCCAGTTAGAAATTTGTCCATCTGGTATGAACCACACAGCCTTTTCTGTGAGCAACAGCACATTACAAGCAATTAGACAGAGACTTAAAGACTTCCATCATCTACTGCTTGAACCTCCTAAGGTAAATTAGATTTACTAGCTTTCAGTACTCTTATAATTAACTAAGTTTATTTTATTTCTGGAAAATCTTCCAACTTTAAAATGGTTTTGCTACGGACTACCTCTCTGATGAGACTGCTCTTATCAAGCTCAAAGGTTTCCATTGCTCAATGCAGTGTATTAAATTAGATTATCAACTCCATCAAATATAGAATTATAATTCCATAGGTATGTGAGGGATGCTTGGAGTTTTCCTGTACTTCAATTTGTAGTGATACATCAAGTGTTCACTCGCTTAAAAAAAAGGAAATGGAATTAAACATTTTAACTAATGCTTAAGATATGCCTTACAATGAATGAGACCTTATTGAAAGATGAATGAATATGATCTTGCAGGCCTGTTTTAAAAACTAATACATTTTTATAAAAACAAGTTGGAGCACTTTTGATTTTTCTCAGAATCCTAAAACCTTTTACTTGAGGCAAACCGAAAGTTTTGATGTTAGTACAACTAGCACTGGAGTGGTTTCTTAAGTGTTCTGTTCAAATGGATTTTTTTTGATTCCTTGCCTGCACTATGTATATTTTTTCCAGCAGATCATAGTCATTGCTATTCATATTCAATTTTGAAGAGTGCAAAGCTTGCCTCTTTATTTTCTTGAATATCACACTGAGAAATTGATGCTCAGTTATTCAGGGTTTGAAGTACAGAGATTCTCTAACCACCGCTCAGTGGCTAGGTGTGTTGGAGACGTGGGCAAGGAAGATGGTGGCAGAGATTTAAACAGACTTCCTTGCCACTCTGCTCCAGTTAACCCTGCAAGCCCAAACTGGAATGGGTAGAGTGATCAAAACTGGGCAGCCTTTCCAGACGGCGTTAACTGTGGAAAACTTTGTTTTTAGCTGGTTGAACTTCCAATGAACATTCACAGGTCCCAAACCTTGGTTCTTTCTAAACAACTTTGTGGAATTGGGTAAGCAGGGTGTGTTCCATATGTGGAATTCTGACTGGCTTGGACACTTGTAAGCATGGTAATGGGTTTCTGCTTGTCAGCATACCCAGCTGACCAAAAACAATGAAAACCTATAAAGATCAGTATGAAAACCAAATAGCTTTCCTTGATTTACTATCTCCAGATACACTGGAAGTACGCTTTTGAAAATAAACTTCAACTCAAAGCTGAAAAATACAAGCCAACCAATAGGACAAAATATTTGGTTTCAGAACCAAGCTATTGCAGCAACAATTTGACTCTAGAAAGCCCTGTGAAGAGATGAAGATTAAACATCAGGCTCTTCTTGAACCATAGGTGTTTATACTGCTCTTGCCTGACTTCTGTTCAGAAACATTCAAAGATTCTGAATGGTGAGCTTGTATTTTAAATCCAAACTGTTTTAAAGCAATGTTTTTAATTCGTATGTGAAAGCTGTTATTCCTTTTTCATGTAACTTTTAGCATTGTTCAATATTAAATTTCCACATTATGACATTCCTCATACTGTGTTTCAGCATAGGTCTTGCCAATCCTGTACCATTGGATAGGGAAGCTGAATGCCTCAATTCATGAAGTATGGTAGAGCAGATGAGGATAACCAGCTACTTTGTCAGTTTAGCAGCACTACCTCTTTTCAAAAGGTTACGTGAACTGATGAGGCAGATGCCTTAACTAAGTTGTTTAGCTCGTTTATTTTGTTTGCAGAATTTGGAACTAGTAAATCCAGTTAGAGAACCTGCTATGATTTCTGCCAAAAAGAAAAATAAGGCCACAGCCTGCCTCCCATCTCCTCCTCCTCCTTTCCTGTTGCCGTTTCAACAATTTTAAAGTGTTAATTTTGTATAAGGGGTCAGTCTTGTATACGACTGCTATTTGGATAGCTATGTTTTTTTTTAAAAAGCTTCATTATAGTTAAATAAGTGAAAGATAAAACTAGCCAGGATCCTGTTTTTGCACTTCAGCTCTTGCACGTGTCAACCCACATGTGAGGTAGATAACAATAAAATGCTTGAAGGTTAAGAGAGAGCAGGAGGCAGGTTGGAGGTAACCAAGTTAATTTGGTGGGAGATGTGATGGTCTGCTGGCTAATACTTATAAATAATAATAAGTAAAACCTAAAAGGTGTTTTTGTGTTCTCAACATCTTAAATATGAAGCTTGTTCAGCTACGTTTGCTCTACCATTAGGGCACTGCTTTGCAGCATTATCAAGAGTCAAGTGGAAAGCATTGGGACAAGTCTATCGCTCAATGTCAGGCATACTGGCAATTTAGCATCAGAATCACAAAGTAATGCAGACCTGCTTGGCTCAAGATAGGGTTTTACTTGAGACAGGATTTTCTTCACATTCTGTATTGAAGATTAAAACACTTTGTAAAAACAATTGGAAATTGTTTAACTTCCAAAATTGGACAAAAAGTGCCAGTATCATGAGTTAAATCTATTTTATTGCCTACAACAATACAATTGAGTTTGTGTAATGTGAAGTTGCCTATTATAATCCTCATAATGTTATACCGGTGGCCAGTTCTGGCTCTACTTGGTATGTTTTTGTTATAGCCATAAATTAATATAATAATAATCCATTTGATATAGTGCTTTTTCACATCTTCTCGACGTCTCAAAGCGCTTCACAGAATAGACTGTAAAGTGAATTGACCGTATATCTGTGGGCGAAACGTGGCAGCCAATTGCGCACAGCAGTGTCCCACAAACAATAATAATAATAATAATCCTTGCATTTGATATAGCACTTTTCACGTCGGGAGGACGTCCCAAAGCGCTTCACAGAACACACTGTAAAGTGAATTAATGGATTGAAAATGACCAATTTATTATTGTTTTGTTTTTTGGAGGGATTATTATTATATTATTAATATGAGATGAGAAATGTTTTCCATATCACAGATGCTGGAGAAATGGCTGACTTTTTGGTTGTCGGATTGCCACCAACTCCAACCTCCTGCATGTTGTGCATTATCCGCAGGAAATTCTGCTGATGTCACTTATTTGTGCACAAGAAGCACCACTAATGTTAGTTCCTTAGATCTAGAACCAGGTTCAACCCAGGCATAAATGCAATGTTATCAGCATTTCCTCACATAGTACCCATGTGTACCTTGCAGCAAGGGACATCAGTGCGTAGGAAATTGAATTGGTGACGCTTTTTGCACATGGTTGTGATGCACAAGAAGCAACATCAGACGGATTTAATGACCTGGAAGTTGACCATTTTTAATATGGAAAGCTGGCTCATCAGTATTAGAAGCTGGGGGTACCACGTTAATAATAATAATAGCATCTTATGTTGTTGAGACATCTCAAAGCGCTTCACAGGATATACTGTGAAGTGGACGGACTACTTATTTTCTTTGTGTGGGCGAGCTGCCCTGTATGTAATAACACAATAGATAATTGACCAGTGGTTAAACAGGGTGTGTTCTAATGAGGCTGACCTGTATGTTGCTTTTAAGTAACCTCCATATTTGTGGGTGTGCAGTTTATGTCAAATTAACTAATTCCATTTTTGTTTCATTTATAGAAAACTGCAATGAAAACTACGTGGGGAGTTTTAGATCCACCAGTGGGGAATACTCGCTTAAATGTCGTCAGACTTGTAGCCAGCCTTCTGCAAACAAATACACACAGCATTAATGTGGAGCTCATAGAACTTGACACCATCAATGTGTTGTTGGTGAGGATCTATTCATTGAAATTATTTATATGTAGGTAAACAAAAATATTTGGAAGGGATTGTTTAACCTGCTAACCTGAGATCTTTTGAAAAAAGATGCTAATATATATTTTCTTTAGATTTACAAGATGCAAAAAAAGTTGGAAAGCTGCATTTTTCTACATAACTAATGGAGATGTGCAGCTAACTATTAGAAATCTGTGTTAGAATTTGTGTATTTTTAAGGCCTTGTAATCTGGTTCTAGAATAAACAGTGTCATTACGTACTTGGTGAAAAGTTTAATTTGCATTCTCTTTTTTAAAGGACATGTACTTTCGATATATTTGGAATAACTTCCTTCATGTGCAAGTAGAAATTTGTATTGCAACAATCCTAGGAAGCCCTCCATGTCATGGTGACAGCACAGAAAATAACATCGAAGATAATCCAGAGACTATCAGAGATAACATATTAGTAAAACATGTAAGTGTATCTACCTTGAATTGGATATTCTTTCCTTCGACTTTTGTCTTGGTCATTTGATCAGATTAATAAAAAGGAGGTGACTGAGTAGACCATGAATCAATAAACAAGTATTTATTTGTGTTAACCTTAGTTGATGCATAAAAACACATTTACTGCTGCAATGCTTTACAATCTGTTTAAATGGCCAAATTTATTTGCCGGTATAGTTGTAGGCAATTCCCTTCTGGATAATCTACGTTTGTGGTTTTGTTTTCGAACTGTTGAGATTTTATTTCTACTAGAAGGCATTCTAGATTATAAATGGGGAGTGTTGTTTGATATAAGCCTTGAACAGTAAATCTATTTAGTTTGAAAATTCTGATGTTCATACATGCTTTTATCTTAAAAACTCAGAAATATTACTGTGAACACGGTGACAGACTTAAGCTCATCACCATTTTACTCAGCTGAATGGTTATTAAAAGCTGTTACCAACATTGTTACTTTACATCTTCTGTTCAGGTGATCATGGTGGCGCCTTAAATTTTATGTAGTCTTACAGATTTCATTGACATCATTGTCAGTGAACCCATGCTAGAACATTTTTTTATATATATATATTATATAATATAATGCACACACACCAGTAGGATCAGCTTTTGTCAGACGCTGGTTAAGTTGGGTAACCCTGAAAGTTGGGTAAATCGAACAAAATGCCCGCCCCGAATCATTTAATTCTTAGCCGTTTTAAATATGGCGGTTGAATCTGTGCAAAATGCAGTGCTGGTTACCGCTGATGGTACTCACTCGGTTAAAAATACTTGTTGTCCTGTTTGGTTAGTTAACATTACTTCAAGTGAAACAACATCATTACATATTTTTATATGGCGTTGGCAGGGTCCTCTGATGGAGGAGGGGAATTGTATTTTGGTTACCCTTCGACACGTCTTAAGCCGGACAAAACTTAGAAGCAACATACAGTGTCTGCTTTAACTGCCTTCCTCTATATATATGAAAAATATATAATTTATATATTATTAACTCATTTTTTCATTTATGTAGCTGTTTCAAAAGTGCCAATTAATTCAAAGAATACTTGATGCTTGGGAAAGTAATGAAAAAGAACAGTAAGTAACTTATTATGATTTATACTGTTTAGTTTGTCTGCCCTCAAAGGTTTGAAATGTATTTGAATAGTTGAAATTAATATGATAGCTGCTTTTAAATTAAGAGAAAGTAATTTCTGAGAAAACAATTTGGGATTTTTACATTGGTATAGCATTTTATATCTGGGTTGAATCTAGCTTAGACTTAAAAGAATAAATGACTTTTACTGCTGTTCAGACCCAATGAATTTGAGCCTGGATAAGGTTTATCTCAGTTCCCAGGATTATTTGTTTTTGAGTCCAGAGCATAAATGATAACCTTGAGGTCATCAGAATGGCCAGGACAAGGTGCTAAAAGGTAATCCAATCCTCACCTATTGTACAATACTTAAAATGATTTGTTTTTAAATATATTGTACTGTTCAGGCTGTCAAACCGTACACTTGAGTAGCGTGTAATGAATTGCAGTGCATATATTGTTGCAGTGAAGTCTTTGATTGAACCCTGGCACTGTGTAGACTTCAAGGCACTATCCTCTGTGAAGGGCACTAATTTGTTTGTGGAATAATAATAATAATCCTTGCATTTGATATAGCGCTTTTCACGTCGGGAGGACGTCCCAAAGTGCTTCACAGAACACACTGTAAAGTGAATTGACTATATTTGTGGGCGAACGCGGCAGCCAATTGCGCCCAGCAATGTCCCACAAACAGTTGTAGATTGAAAATGACCAATTTATTATTGTTTTGGGTTTTTTGGAGGTATTATTATTAGGCTCTGTGTGGAGTAAGGAAACTTGCCCAAGGTTTCGCCCTTTGCCTGGAAATGAACTCAGGTCTCTTGCTTGCAAAGCGAGTGCTCTAACCACGGAGCTACAGGACTCCACAAACATTGCTGTGTGCAAATTGGCTGCTCCCTTCGCGTACAGTCACTATTTTATGATATATCTTGTGAAGCGCTTTGGGACGTCCTCATGATGTGAAAGGCCTATGCCAAATGCATTAAAATTGCCTATAATCACTCAATTTTAAAATCTAAGCATATTTTCCAAGCTAGTTGCCGCAATTTAATCAGTGGCAAGCAAACCATATTTAACTGTCTATTCAAGAACAATGGAAACTGTTCTTTAGACTTCTGTTTACTTCTTATTGCCATAACAGAAGATTATTTTATTCACTTCTTCTGGGACCTGAAATCTGTCACAGAGATGAAGTATCATTCTTCAGTTGTCAAAGCAACCGTTTTTATTGTGGGTTATTTTTCACTTTGAGTTTGTGGCAAATTATTCAAAGAAAAGTTTTCATAATGTTATAGAGCTTGTCATCCAAAAAGAAACTTGTAATCTGAATCATTAACCTGTAGCCACAGGCAGCAGTTGCTATTTGTTCCGTTGGCATCCCAGGTCTTTTTTATTACATCACATTTTCCACATTTAGTTTTCTGTTTGGTAAAACTCAATGCATATGGTACATGAAGATTGTATCTGGAGTGATGCACACATTTCTTGAAGAGGTGCCACCTGTCTGCCCCTTCACCTACTTAAAATTGGCAACTTACTTTCATGGAATACTTTCTACTTCTTTCTACTTCTCCCCTCGAGTAGCTGAGTCTTTTTATGAAGACCTTTGTCTGGCAAATGAATTGGGATTGTTTTTCAGATCAGAAGGTGGAAGACGGAGAGGGTACATGGGTCACTTAACGAGAATAGCGAATGCTATTGTCCACAATTCTGAGAAGGGGCCAAACAGTGCACTTATGAATCAACTGCTTAAAGGTACAGTTTTTTTGGTTGCTTTTGAGATTGGCTGCAGCAATATATTTCAGTAACATTATCATTTAACCTTTACACTAATAAGTTTCTACGTCTACAATTTCTGTTGAAATGTATTTATTTATACATTAAACTGCATCCTTCAATGACATAACTTAAATTTCCCATTTCCCTCAATTGACTTGGTATCATAGTTAAGTTCGATATGAGAGAACATCGAATCACTAAACCAATACCCTACAAATGTTTTCTGTGAATACTACTTTTGTTAAAATGTATTTTCTATTTTGAAATGGATTAAATTGATCAAGGAAATGAAAGTGAGTCCATGCCCCAGAACAACATGGCACAGCTCATTGAAGGATTTTTTTTAAACTGGGCTTTTTCATCACTGCTTGCATAGTATTGTCTTTGTTGCTGTACCTTTTGTTAGGGAATTCTTGTGTCTAATTTCTAATGTCTAATTTAATTAAGCTAAACACATCTACTTTTGCAAGTTTAATGGCAACGTTTGATTGTAATGTGAGAGAGGAGTTAAGAATTGTTTTTTATCTGTGAGCTTTATCCTGATATTGTATGCTTCATAAATGTGTGTGCCTGATCAATTTTAAACATCTTATAGTGTTTCTACAACTGTTTGTGTTCTCAGATATTCCTGATGACTGCAGGGAAAGGTGGGAGACATTCACAGCCAATTCATTGGCAGAAATCAATAAGAAGAATACTGTAGATCTGGTACGTTTGGGAATAAGTGAAATCAGGATATTAAATGTGGAAATTTATGCAATTCAGACATAAATATGAAAGTCAGATTGGGTCTGCTATTCTTTACTGGAATCTAAATAGTGTCTGTCTCCTTTGATTAGTCGTAACAGTCCTGGAAAGTTTTGCGGACCTGGGTCCGGTTGCCAAGTTTTCTGTTCATTTGTCTAATTTTCTACGTACTATAGTTTTACATTATCGTATTACAGTCTTACATGAGTGTAAAAAGGCAGCAGTTAATGGTTTGAAATGCAGAGAACCAATCGGTCTGGGTACAATCATTTATTTCATACCCAGGATGAAACTACCTTTTTAGGGGAGATGGTGTTGAGGAAAAATCTAAAGTGCTGTACAATTAATTAATTAATTTGAATATAGTTTTGTATTAAACTTCGTATTGGTTTGGAATTGCAATTTTTTTAAGAGAAATATTTCCAGAGATTTAATAGATCATGTTGAGTAAATTGCTTCAAGATGCTAAAAATAAAGGAAACCTAAACTTCTTTGATTTGTCTGTGAATCTAGTGCTTTCAATGGTTTCATCTTGTAAATTATATTCTAGGTTAGCACACACAACATACATTCATCCAGCGATGATGAAGTTGATTTTAAGGAGCAGGGATTTGCTCAGGACTCAGGGTTACAGCAAGTAAGTATTTATTTTCCTAAATGGCAAACTCCTGTTGTTTCACTTGTACTATGATCAAAACTGTATTTTTTTTACAATTTTAGATAATAAAAGATAGATGCATAAGATTTTTTGTTTGAAAATATTAACTGGTACTTTATTTGCCCATAAAGCATCATTTGCATCTCCCAACATTTTGTTGAGACTTGTCTCACTTTTTTATTAACATGCAGAAAGTAGAACTAAAACATGACTGATGCTTTTTGTTTTTGGGACATGAGCATCGTTGAAAGAATAATTTAGGGTGGGGTCTATGAACACAGTGGAGGTTTTCAACTAACTTTTCAAGTGGTCTTGTTGGGCTTCTTACCATTTGCCATCTCTGACCTTGCATTGTAAAAACACTAAGTGTTTTTGGGGGGAAATGTTGCTGAGTCTGAGGACTAAACTCATTAGCCTCAGAAATCATGGAGTCCTGTAGCTTAGTGGTTAGAGCAGTCGCCTCGCAAGCTGGAAGACCTAGGTTCAATTTCCGGCCAGGGCGAAATGTTAAACAAGTTACCTTACTCCACACCCTTTACCTAGCAGTAAATAGGAACCGGGGTTGATATGCAGATCGATTTCCAGGGTTAATAATCCCTTCAAAACACTAAATACATTTTTAAAAGTAATTAAAAATTTGGTCACTCAATCCACCGTTGCTTGTGGGACACTGCTGTGTGCAATTGGCTACCACTTTTCACCCACAAAGTATAGTCAATTCACTTTACAGTATATTCAGTGAAGCGCTTTGAGACATCTTGAAGATGTGATAAGGCGCTATATAAATGCAAGTATGTTATGATAAATGGTGACGAGATGGTAAGGCCAACCATGATAGTCTCTTTGGAAGGATTAAAATTCATGAAAAGAGTCAAATTAGCAATCTGCTGGTCTTTCTTGGCAGAAGTGGGAAAATTGATCAGGTGCAGGATATGACTGGTTGGGAAGGAAGGGAGAAATAATGCTTTGGTAATTGAAAACCTTTTTGTCATTAGTATTCAAATGAAAATGTGGGCAAATAAATCGTACCTATATTTTTAAACAAAAAAACCCTATGATGGGAATTCAAATTAGTTAGCAATACCTTGAGACCCAAACCTGTTGGCCAAAATGGTGATCAATCCAGTATTCGGCACAGTTGCCAGTGGTATAATTGTGGAGGTCATAATAATGGCATTGATAATTTCACTGCTATTTTTTAGGTATTTTGCACACAGCATTGTTGATTTCTGATTTCAGATTAACATGCACAAAAGTGTGTTTAGAAAAAAAAACTTAAAAGGGAACTCGTCCTTCATAGTAAATGGAACAGTTGTGTTTTAGATGAGTTTCTGTGGCTGTAAAGTTTGAAAGAATCTGAGATTTTCAACTCTTAACTGAGGCGCAGGTCTTGGCATCTGACACCATTGCAAAAAAAAAAGAAAACTGCAGTGTGCGGATTTGTTAGAAAATAGCCGGTAACAGGCTTGATAGCTGCATGAGTATACCATCTGAACTGGGATATCTGATGCTTATTTTAACATTTACTTGAATGGCTACTGTAGGTTAAAAATTGCCATTCCTTCAAATTGGAGAAGAATAACTCAAAACTAATAAAATATAGTATTTTGTATTTGAAGTAATTTATTGGTGTTTTCTGATTTGCTCCCAAAGTTAGCAATACACTTTAACTACTTATTTGTTTCACTTTGATATTAATTTGTTCAAAAATTTTATACACGCTTAAAATGTATGTGAGTGCATTCATGGAAATGTTCATAAAATTAAACACTGATGCTCTTAAATTGAATTAGGCTTGAAAAGTGTTCAGTTGCACGTTAATTTATGTTTGCAACAGACCTTTAATCACTGCTTTGACCTTTAAATTGAGGTGTGGCACTAGGGTAGAATACATAAAAAATATTGAATTATTCAGTGATTGTTTCATTGCAGTTTTCAAGTTGGCAAATTTTCAAATTTACAGCTGTTGAAATGTGTTTAAAGCTATGCTCTTTGAATTCAATGCTGTTTCTGAAGGATCTAGAGTTCCCCTTTTAAGTGAATTTCCCAACATGACTGGAGTATCAAGATTATATCACTGTCATTGGTCCTGGGTTTGCCAGGCCTTTTCTGATTATCAGATGCAACAAATGACGTCCAATTTTATTGACCAGTTCGGCTTCAACGATGAGGAGTTTGCTGATCAGGAGGATATCGTGAAGTAAGTATGGCTTGGACACGGTCAAATGGCTTGACTTGGGTGGTGATCTATGGGTCTGTATGCAGAAGCATCAAATTGTGGAGGAATTGGGAATAATTATTCTGATGCAACATACAATTGGTGTTATATTGTTACTATCCTTCAATTTATTTTTCCCCTCCTGCACTTTCTACAATAACCCTACATCCTAATACTATTTTCAAACTGCATTGGTGCTTGTGCGTTTTTCTCCTTTGGGAATTGGAATTTAACTCTTATGTAGCATGTGGTGCATTGTTAAAGTATTTGAAATCTTGTGCTTGACACTTCAATCGTGTTTCCAACGCAATATTTTGCATTTATCCATTATGATAAGGGAATGCTCTGTGGTAGGAGTATTTGTTTCACTGAAGTAAACAATTCAGATAACTGAGAAAGGAAATTTAAAACCTGCCTCATTGAGAAAAATTACTGAGTTATTTTTACAGCAAAATGATTTAACAATTCCCTCACTGACCCAACATTTCATAACTTAATTGTCATTTAGATATTCATTCCCATGCTTTCAGAATCTGTGGGTAATTGGAATCTATATTCTTCTGAAAACCGATATTTCTTAAATCTGTTGACCATTTCAGTGACTAAGAACCCAGCGATACTATGGAAAAGGCTGTCTTAATTGTGGCACCCAAAAATCCAATTATTAAATCCAGATCCAATGATGAGAAGTCTTAATACTAAAGGGTTAATGATTATTCCATGTTCTATTGCCGTTTGAATGCTATTCTCTTGTTCTTTCTTTGTCAGTACTGAACCTTTTTTGTTGTAAACTGTGAGCAATACTGTTGTAAACTGTGAGTAAAGTGAAACTGAATATATATAGTTGATTAGCAACGATTATCTGAACGTGGCTCGATTACGATTTTTGTGCATTTATTTTTACAAAGCTTGCAAACTTGACTGAAATTTATTTTCTCAATACTTTCATAGAATTAAGTGCTGAAACCAATGTGAGATGTATATTGCAAAGACAATTTACTAAACTTCACTTAATTTATGTCCTGTTAAAAATCTATTTAGTCTTGATTGCAGTGTTGTAATCCTTAAACATTTTGAATCGTTTTTCAGTGCTTCCTTTGATAGAATTGCTGACATCAACTTTTCATTGAATACAAACGAGAGTGTAAGTATTTTTGAAATTACATTTTGGAGTATTATCACAGATTTATGCTTTTCAACTATAAACTTAATTCCATTCCCAACATGTGCAATGCTACATTCATTCGGCTTATTTGGCAGTCTGTAGTGCTTCTCTAGGAAATATGCAGTATAAATGGGGGAATGTGAAGGGTGCGTTGAGCTCCCATGAATCATGCTGGAGCCCTGCCAGGAGGTGATTTTGGGAGCCGGGCAATTTGTGGCTTTTATGGAATTTAGAAAAAAAAATCTAATTTCAGTGTTGTATATGGACATAACATCAAAATTTAATATAATTTTACCCAAATACACGTATAGTGGCTTTCACTTTAGCAGTACAAACACGGAATGAGATTCCTAAATAAAATTCAAATTGTGCTAAATTTCAGAAGATCACTGATATGGATTTAACAACAGTCCAGTTATTTGGTCATTCTGGGCTGGAATGGGAACACCAGTAGTTATTGTATTTGCTGTACTGCTTGTTAGGAGTATAGCCCAAATCGAAGAGCTGAATGTGCAAAGTTCGCTCGTTACCTCTACAGATTAATCATGTCCATCACTTAAAGCAAAAACATTTATGACCAACTCTGTTGTTATTAACTGTGTGCAACAACTTTTAATCACATCTGGTTTCAGCTTTTTTTTTTCCATTTGTGTAAAGTGATCAGTTCAGGTTTGTTTATTTATTTATTTTACAAATAAGGGACTATCCAAAAGTATACTTTTAGTTACTGCTGTGTTGGAGCCCAGTCTTAAATGTTTCCAGTTGATTTTCAACTGTTTGGAACTATTAATATCTTGGTTCAGGCTAATGTAGCCTACTATTTTGTCACAGGCCAGTGTGGCTCTTTTTGAGGCATGCTGTAAAGAGAGAATTCAGCAATTTGACGACAGTGGTTCTGATGAAGAGGACATTTGGGATGAAAAAGATGTAACTTTTGCACCAGATGCACAAATTCGACACAGGTAATTTGATTGGGACCTCAAAATTTGTGATTATTTTGTATTGTTTACCAGTTTTCTTCAGCTTGAATATTTGTTTAATCATGTTTCAAAGGATAAATCATTGATATTTAGGATTTGATGGAGAGTGATGAGCCTGTCCCCTGTTGTGTGCTTTTACTCCTCATCTTTTGATACCCATCTCTCCCCTTTTATGCATATTGCATTCATCTCCCACTTGTGCTCTTGTCCTCAAGATGTTCATTTTTCTCAGTTCCCACAATCTGTTTGTGTGTGTATATATGTGTATATAAATAATATATATGTGTGTGCATATATAATATATATTATCATTCTTCACCCAATCTCCTTCTGTCTGTCCCATACTCTGCCTCTTTCCCTTGCACTGGTGTTAAAAGTTTCAAATCTATCTTTGTCCAATCTTCAGAAATAGCCATAGCAAATGATGGATTTCAGTGCTTGAATGATAAGTTACCAAATCCCTTGTTTACTTTTTGTACAGAAGTTCAGGCAGTACAGACAGCGAAGAAAGCACAGATTCTGAAGAGGAGGATGGGGAGAAACGGGATGGTGCATTTGAGTCTAGTAGTGCCAATCCAGATGACCGAATGGAGGTGGACACAAATGATGGCAAGTGATTAAATTCTAATGACAATTTTTGGCCTGGGATGCGCAGAGCATGAACTAGTCAGATTCACACATGCATATTGAAAACAGTTACAGCATCTTGACATAATGTTAGGGTTCCACATACTCATTTTCAACTTCCTTCATGTCCTTGCACCTCCTTACCTATCAGATCTGCTTATCCCCCACTTCACCACCCGCTGCCTCCACTCTGCTGGCTCCAGCCTCCTGTTTGTCCCTCATCCCCTCCACTCCACCATTGGATAATACATCCTTTTTCAATCCACGAATGTTTGTGGGACATTGCTGTGCGCAATTGGCTGCCGCGTTCGCCCACAAATATACAGTCAATTCACTTTACAGTGTGTTCTGTGAAGCGCTTTGGGACGTCCTCCCGACGTGAAAAGCGCTATATCAAATGCAAGGATTATTATTATTATTATTATTATTATTATGGTGTTTTAACAAGACTCCGACGTATTTTCACTTTTAACCTCAACTTAAGAAGAATTTTATTTTCTCCATATCGAATCTTCTGTTATGGTGCCTTTTACAGCTTTATACACTGTATTTTTATGCTGTGCGTCCTGAGATTTGGGTTTCGGCTGCTTAAAATAATTTTACTTAAGCCTCAGTCATCATCAAGTAACATTCATCCAGTTTGTTTAGGGTGTAATCGGATGCAGTTTGCCAAGATAAAAGGGAGGTATTAACACTAACTTTCACAGAACCTTTAAGTAGGTTCATGAGGACATTGGAAGCAGAGAAATGGGTGTGACTTCTGCACTGTATAATACAATTCACATTTACATAGCATCTTTCACATTGGGAGGATGAAAGTGTTTTGACACTTCTGGCTGGGCATCAGCATAGATGAAAAAAAAAGGTATTTCACTGCACTGCAATTGGCAATCCAGACGATGAGCCAGACATGCTTTTTTCTGATTACTGCAAAGCATTGTGATTACTATAAATAATTGTTNAAAAAAAACATTTGATTAATTGTTCTTGCAGCCCCAGGATGGACAGCAAACTTCGAAGTGCCTATGGAAACTGCAAATGTGACTGCTGCGGAATCTACTGAAACTCCAGTGTGGAGCTCAGGAGATTCAGAATGCCAAGAAACAGGATGGGCCACGTTTTCAGATTTTTCATCTCCTGTAAGGTATCGCAATAAGTTTCACATGTCAAAAACATTTCTAATGCTATCCATTTTATTAAACATTCCATTTAGTTATTCTCGATCCAGAATGAAGGTGAGTAACATCCAGACTTTCTTTATTCTTGTAATCATGTGGCTTTCACAAGTTTGTGGCCTTGCACCTGTGATTTCAGTAAAACTGATCTTGCCCATTCTCCTGTATCTAAAACCAGAAAGTGATATTATCGACAGCTGGCTAAACACCTCAAACAAGTATTAATGTTTTGGATTGGGTGTTGGATCAAAACTGTTGCTTCAGACAAGACGAGAGTTCCCATAGCCAGTGATTAACACAGTGGAGTAGGATTACTGCCTATTAGTTTCAGAATAAAGATCCTAGGAGATGAAACTATTAATTTGTCACTTAGCTACTGCTAGGTGCTGTATTGGAAAGACTGGAATTAGCATTCTGTAAAGATCGAATGGGCTGAATCTCTTGTGATAATGAATGACAAGAGATGATGAATACAACATCAATAATGCATTGTCTCACTACATGTGATTCACCTTGTAAAACTAATTGTTCAGTTTAAAGGTCTAAAAGTGTATGCAGTTTATTAGTATACTACAATATTAATAACATTAAATAAAATGTGTTCTTTTCAGTTCAACAAAGGACCCATTAAGAAGTAGCTCTCCAATTGCTATGGAAACGTGTTCTGACCCAGTGGATCTTCATAGTAATAATAGTGCAACACACACTGAAGGTAAAGTTAACTTAAATCTATTGAATCCTTGTTCATCATAGAAATAATGATATTTTTATAAAATAATAAAGTAGATAGTTGAATATTTGTAAAATGGACCTGATTCCTTTTGATGCTTTCCATTTGATCTTATTTGAAGTGGGTACAATAATGGATCATATAGATTGTGATGTTGTAAATTTATGTTAATTGGTTTTTCAGTTCATGTTTGGTACAGCATATTGTCGTAAAATGTCACATTTATGTGCCCAATACCTTTCCTCATTTTGCTGTTACATATACATAGTGAAAACTATCAGTCATTACTCTGCTTAAATATGAACCATATGATTGAAAGTCAATACATGGACAGAGTATGTTGAATCTTAGAATTTTGTAACTTAACAACTCAAAATAAGCTTCAGGTTATTTGGAAGAAAGTATTTTGATGAATACAACATTGTATTGTTGAACCTAACCTTGATCCCGGTTTGTATTTTCAAAGCACCTTTCCCGTTATGTCAAAGCTTTGAACCTGGTGTGTCTCTTCAGTGAATGTCAAGATCCATTGTAAAATCAGGTGTTAATAATACATTTATAAAGTGTGTCCTGTGAGCTGGAATTGTAAACAGCAGATCATTTCAAACTAGACCTACAAATTATAAACCACAGGGTTTATAATTTTCAATACGTTGTAAATTGTATGTAGTGATGGACTGAAAACAAGCACATTTTGAGATGTGATCCCTATTCTAAATTCCAAGTTGGGGAGCTCAACAAATCTTTAACTTTTCTGCCTTCAAACTATGCAGGTTTTGTTGCGACCTCGCAGCTTGCCTGCAAAAAACCGAAAGCAGTGCCAGCCATGTTAAACACAGAAGCCAACTCATCTGACGGAGAAGAGGAGGAAGTGACTACAGACCAAATAACAGAGACCGTTAGCAATGGTTCCATGAAAGAGACAGTCAGCCTTACTGTAGATGCCAAAACTGAAACTGCTGTGTTTAAAAGGTAGGTTGAACGCACTTAAATAATCCCGAATGTTGAATGTTTAATAATTCCTTCAAAAAAGTTAATAATTTGGTCACTCAATTCACAAATGTTTGTGGGGTGGTGTTGTTACCGCGTTTCTCCCACAAAATATACAATCAATTCACTTTGCTGTGTGTGAATAATAATACTTGCATTTGATATAGCGCTTTTCATGTCGGGAGGATGTCCCAGAGCGCTTCACAGAACAAACTGTAAAGTGAATTGACTATATTTGTGGGCGAACGCGTCAGCCAATTGCGCACAGCAATGTCCCACAAACAGTCGTAGATTGAAAATGACCAATTTATTATTGTTTTTGGTTTTGGAGGGATTATTATTATTAGGCGTGTGGAGTAAGGAAACTTGCCCAAGGTTTCGCCCTGCCTGGAATTGAACTGCGGTCTCGTGTGTGTGGCTGAAAAGACAGGACTTTATCTCAATTTTTTTCAGAGCAGTTGTGGTCTGAATGTTAATAACTGAGGGATTTTCATTCTTTGGTTTATTGTGAATCAGTAACAAAAATCTATATATATAATATATACACACATACATACATTGGACTCCATTGGCTCCCTATCCTTCAGCGGATCCAGTTCAAAATCCTGGTCCTCACCTACAAAGCCCTCAGTGGTCGCGCCCCACCCTATCTCCGTGACCTCCTAACCCCCTTCCAACCCGCCCGCTCAGCCGGCTCCGGCCTGCTCCACGTCCCCCGCCCCACCATTGGCGGAGAGTCTTCAGTCACTGCCCCCAACCTCTGGAACTCCGTCCCCCAATCACTCTGCCTTGCCCCCTCCTTAGCCTCCTTCAAGTCCTGCCTCAAAACCCTCCTCTTCGACCATGCCATTGGTCATCCTCCCTTCCCCCTGACCCCACCTCAGGTCTGAAATGCTGTACACTATCCAGCGCCTTGGGACATCCTCCCAACATGAAAGACGCTATACAAATGTAATCTTGTTGTTGTATATTCTAACGCTTTGAGACATCTCAAAGACGTGATAAAACGCTATATCAAATGCAAGGTTTTTATCTATTTTGTACATTTTTAAACAATTTGCATTATTCAGTCATTTATTATCCACTTATCACTGCTACGGCATTAAATTCGACTTAACAGATTCTTGGAATGTAGTTTGATGCACAAATCTTCGTGTTAACGTAACAGTCTATTCTAATGTGCTTTGACAATTGATATCTAATGCGGCGTGGGGTTGGGGGGATTACGATTTGCAAATGTGTTATTTTTGTGGGGATGAAGATTACTGGCATTTACAGAATGGTAAATATGATGAATCGGCAAATAAATTGACAGCTATTCTATTCCTGAACTTGAATCTTTACAATTCGTTGTCTTGTATTTTCTTGTTGCTCCTTTCACTTTTGGCTAGATTTTACAGTTTACAGCTGAACCAGATATTTGCAGACGTTTAGAGGTGTCATGCTATACAGTGATACATGTGGTTTTGCAGCTATAGCAGAGATAGGTTAGGAAATCTCTTCTGCTTCAGTTTTCTGAATTGCCAGAGGCTTCGCTGTAAAGCAGGTCAGTTCACAGAACAGCAAATGTCTGAATCAAATTGAATATGATTTTGAAGTTGACAAGAAATGAATGGGCTTGGAAGGACTCCAAGTAATAATAATAATAATCCTTGCATTTGATATAGCGCTTTTCACGTCTTCTAGATGTCCCAAAGTGCATAATCTTAAAGTATATTGCCAATCTGGTAGTTTGGGTTTTATGGCTGTAAAACTTAATGTTGTTGAAGATTTTCCAAATATTGTAGTATTTGCAATCAATAAGTTTCTGCACAGACGCAGAATGCCAGACCCTCACATTCAAAGTTCATAGATCGTGTCTGAAAGTCAAAATGTTACTTGGATTGAACATTCTTGAGTTTTGGGATATGGTTTAATTTTCAATATTTATGCCTTGGATTAAAGTAGAAATACACTACAAACTTCGCCTAGGAAAAACACTTAAGCACAGCTATGCTTATGCAAGAAATAAGTTCTAATGGAAAATGTGATACACTAGGAGAGTGTGGGATAAGGCCTTTATAGCTGATTGAGCTCTGAAGACAAATGTTAAACAAAACATTTAAAAGTTGTCCTTATGGCTAGAAGTTAAGTTGAATTTTTTTTTAAAAAGGTGCTTTTGTGACTGGAAAGGGGTTCTTTGCCTCCTGTTAGTTTCTTAATTAACCCAAGGAATGCTAAAAATCTTGCCTTTTTATCCAGTTATATTGCCACCTGCCTACCACAAGTGCAGATAAAAGTGTGTTCTTGGGTAATTACTTTAATTTCTGTGATTTAAAAGTAATGAAACATTTGAATCTATTGCTGATGGTTTTCTTGAACTTTGGTTGAGTTGTTTTTCTTAAAGGTTTAGGAAGTGGCAAGTTTCACAGCAATGGAAATGTACCAGATGTTTTTCATGCACAGCACTTATTAAGTGCATTGTTTTTTTAAATCAAGCAAGGTCATATTGAGCTGGAGTCTTTCTTTCACAATTTAAGCTTCCTTTCTCTTTCTCTCGTACTTGTGGCTTCAGAGTGTTGAAATCCTATCGGTATGTACTACAATTAAGGATGAATTAAATGTACCCTGTCTATTTACACAATCTGCAAAAAGTAATCAATTTCTTGTCACATTTATTGCATGATTCCAAGGTAAAATACCAAATGTTTCATTACCTGCATTGGTTTGAATTGTAATACCTGCTTGCAAGGCTTCATGTTTATTCAACCATCATTACCCATATTTCCATTTGCATGTGAAGATCTGCACATATTGCATGAGTGGAGAGTGAGTTTCATAATGGTTATGTGGTAGGACTCACATTATATCATCACATTGAAACTTTTGCAGCTGTTTGATCAACATTTTCAAAGAATCAATTGCTCCCATTTTCTCTTTAGTGAGGAAGTAAACCTGTCTACCTCTGAAGATGTTTCTTTAAAATACGTCCTGCCAGAAAGCCTAGAAGCTTCAAAGGTGACTCCAACATCACCATCGCCTAATGATTATCAAGAAGATGGGTAAGTCTATTGATTTGTTTGCCTGCATTGTCAGAACCTGATTAATGGGATTTGAATTGAATTGTCTAACAAAGTGTCTAATCAGATTTAGGATTCCTTAGTACAAATGGAAACTTTCTTCTGACTCATATAAAAAAAAAGTGAATAATGCAAAGGAAACCCCATAGTGTTTCTTTAGGATCAAAATCATTAACACAACTGTACTTACAAAGAACTCAAGTTATATTGCTTCAGACAGTACTGTTAACCAAAGCCGTTAATTGGGCTGTTTCACTTTGCTTTTTCTACATGCCTTCATGATTCGTGTATTTCATCAAAGTAGTGAATGCCATCCATGAACACCAAAGATAGTTTGCCTCAATTAGGTTTAATAGGGTTTATTATGTGTAAAAACCTTTTGGTTTCTAGGGTAGAAGTTTTTGATATCTGTAAACAATGGATGTTATTGTAGGAAGGTTGGGTCACTTTCATGCTGCTATTTAGTCTCCACACTTACAGAAACCATTTTATCAACAGCTTGAAGCCTTCTGAAGAGAGTATAAAATCTCAGGCAAAAGACACTTTGAATGGACCTGTTGATGAAGTGACGTCAATGGAAGAAGCCAAGTAAGCTTCTACTGCAGCTGGTGCATTATACAAATATAGAAAATAACAAGTGTTCATTTTGTATTGTTTCCCCCACCACTTTTTGCAGGAAATCTAATACAACAACTTGCATTTATAGCTCCCCTCGCGCAGGGTAGCATCCCAGAGCGCTTTTGATAGATACTCAATGTGAAGGTATTCATGAAGCACAATGTAGAAGTTTCCTTGTGTCATCTTGAATATTCCTCAAGAGCATGTCAGATTGGAATTTACAGTTCTCTTAGAATTAAAACCGCAATTGAGTTTGAATCATATAAAAGCATGACATTGCTTCTTTGAGTAAAGGCTGATGATTTGTCCAATTGCACTATAATGTGTATTTAAACTAAAATGTAATTGATTCTTAAATGAAGTTTAGCATGTCAAATCTGAGCATTGAGTAAATCCAGAATTGGATTATTACTTGTTACATTAGGTTGAATAGGTTTAGGTTGAATAGGTTGAATGGGTGATGTGAGCAATAATGTTGTGGCCATGTACTATTTAAGATTAGTTTGCATTTTGGCCTCAATGTTAATATGGAACACAAGAAAATCATATTTTGAAACAAAACTTTGTTTTTATTGGGGAAATGTTTCTACGCAGCATAACAAAATAATGATTTTTTTAAGGATCTACATTCCAAGCCTATTGTGTGTATTGTAGAGTCTGCAAGTGAGTACAATTGTGATGTTTGTTTTTTGTTGTCAGTTATATTTTAAAAAGTGTGACACACTTACTTGATGAGGGTGATCATGCTGTTCAGCTGTCGCTGCGAAGTCAGGAAGTGCTTCTATTTTTCTTATTATACAGCAATCTTTCCCCAACTTGCAAAACAAATTATCTTAGAAATAAACCCAACCTGCTCCATGTTACTACCTTTTTATCCCAATAATACATGAATTGCATCAGCTGTGTGATAACCCCCAAAAATTCAAATAAGGTTTAATTCCAACATCTGAATAAAATGAGCGTTCTCAATGAAAACTTGACTTGCCTTTCTAAGTTGCAGGCAAGAAAAGCATTTCCAGTTCCATGGTGCTTGGAGTGCAGGCTAATATTCTGGCTAATTTTAGATTCATTGTTGCTATACCCAAGCATTGGGGCAACCCATTACTGGCATATTCAATTTATAAATGATTCACGGACACAGAGATAATAAAATTTGTAGCATTCAATGTGCTTAATAAATGTTAATTCAGTTGCAACGACAATAGCAGTTTAGCTAAGGAGAGGTGAAACGACCCTTTGACAACTGAATTCCATACATTTATGCGAAGCCAGATTATAGATAGGCTATATTTTTATATGAAGAATAATTGTGTAAACTGGCTACTGCTCCATTTCACTTAACAATTAATTGTTCACATTAAAATCTCATGACATTCTCATTCGTTCTGTCTGCCTCCATTTTGCTGTGTTTCTCAGTCTGCAAAGTACCTGCAGTAGTGCAGTGAAGAGAGGGTTTGCCTTGTTGCATATAAAACATTTTCCCAATTGTACTTTATACTATGTTATGATCAACATATTATAATGATTATATCATTACTATGATCAAACATACTTTATACAATAGTACTGCAGTTCAGGACAGTGGGGAAAACTGTGCCAAAAGGGAATGTAGGAGATGGTACTTTGTCTAGTAGTAAATATTTGTAACTTATGGGAAAAAATAATAATTTAAAAATATTCCGAGTTGATTAAAATTTATTTTAACAATAATTGCTTAAATACGTAAGCTGAAAGAGATCCTTAGCAGTGTTTTTCTTTGTTTATGGAGTTCTGCTGTAATTGTAAATGCTCAGTTCTCATTAAAATGGAGTCAAATTCTCACAAAAGTGTGGTGGCTCTCTGAAGGATGCATTTATGTTTCCATGGGTCTAACTTCAGAATTATTGCAACATTGGGAACTTGCACGTAATCGTGTCTTCTAGGAATTTGAAATACGTGTGTAAACCCAGCTGTAATTGTATATAATCCAACTACATTTTCAGTTAAAAACATCCATGAAGCACAAGTGGGTAATCTGCAAAATCTTTTGTAGGATGGGACTTTGCAATAGTTTAACATTGACAGGAATAATTGCAAAAAAAAGTCAAACTGTTCCCACCCCCACAAAATCTATATGATGGTGGGGGTGGGGTGGGAGTAAGAAATAACTGGACTGCAGGAGATATCATTCTTGTCAGAAATGCTGGACATTAAGATTCTTATATATCAGAATATGATAGCTTCCTTAATAAAACTGCACTGCTCAGATATTGCAGTTGGGCTCCTGTCTGTCGAAGCCACACCATAGTAACATGGAGGCTTTGCTTTCATATATCTTGCTACAACAGAAGCAGTGGATTTCCCATTTGACCTAGACAACATTTAAGATTATCGATCTTGCAAGCTTGCATTGAGCCTGATACCAAGATAACTTTGGCATTTAAATCTCTATGCCAGTGTCATTTCTGCTTGAAGTCCTGCAGCCAGTCTCCAGGTATGCAGCATTTCCATGGAGGAGATTTGGATTGGAAGAAATCAGCTTAGGCTGATGCTACATGTGGCAGTTTTACAGTACAGTTAATGTATTTGTAGTCAGTTATCACTGATAATCGCAGATTTTCCACGCTGGTTGCTTACATTGTCATTTCTAGATATGCAAAAGTAATTGGAACTTCATCTAGATTTGCTAGAAACTCCAGTTGGTCTGACATTCCAACTTAACATGGCTGACTGTGGGGGACTTGCTACTATGTTTTTCTTAAAAACAGTCACTTCACTTGTCTGAAGTGCCTTGAGACATTTTGATGTGATGTAAAATGTTTGGTTACTGTTTTTACAGCATTGTCAGTAACTGATAAAACTAGTTAAAATTGAACCAAGCATCCTGTTTTGAAAGGGGGAGGAGGGGTATTAAGGGGTATTTAAATGTATTGTGTGTGTGTATATATGTTCTTAGCAGTATGGAGTTCTTGTTTACTGTTATAAACTGTTGTTTTTCCTTTGAAGTGAATTGAGTGCTTTTTATTGCATGGGTATGAAATATCAGACCTAATTTCTTAAGATTTTCCTTTCTCTTTTTTGCAGGGCAGATCAACGAGTTCCATCGCCTGAAGCTTCAGTGAATGGCCCTGCATGATTAATTAATTCTGCTGTTGGCTGCTCCAGTCTGAGTAGCTGCTATCCAGGGGTATCAGTGGGGTTCACTGGAGGCACGGGGCCTAGGCCTATCAAAGCCAGTCACTGCTGCACTAAATTCACAAGGGATCAGGACCAGCAATATTCTTATCAGATTTTTAAGATGGATGTACAAAGAAGAGTTTGAGAGAAATGTATAAATGAGGGTATTACATGTTGGCAGATACAAAGAACTCTCTTGCGTGCATTTGTATCAAATACATGATATAAAACAGGATGATCAGTCCATTAAATATCTTGCCACTCACGTGATATTAGTATTGTTGCCATAGTTAAATGGTTATAAGAGTTAGAGTATTTTATAAAAATGTGTATACATAAACCTGACGTATATAATTGAAATATACCAATTGGAACACATAGTGTGACCAAAGTGTTTAGAAGTTTTCATACTTTTTTTCATCTTGTATAAAATTTTAACTTTCAGTGTTTCTTCCAAGTGGGCAGAGTAAATTGTAGAAGTGAACTGCAAATGTAAAACTGTTATTTTGATCAATTTGCCTATATTAAACCAATTGCTAGAAGAAAAACTAATTGTAAATGTTCAACAGTGGCTTTTTGTTTCAGGTTTTATTCGTAAACATTTCTTGAATTCTAGAATGAGTAGAATCGAAAGTCCTTTGATACGGATTTAAACATATTTATTACTAAAGACTAGTTGGCCATTTGGTATGTCACTGAACTACCGTGAGGTGGTTCATCCCTCTGGATTTTGCATTTTCATGCTTAGAAGTTGTTCAAATCAATGGTGAAGAACACTGAAGATTGGCCTTGAGCTGCATGTGGCTTGTGGGTGTTTCTCTTTGCTAAAGGTCTGCATCAATACATTGCCTGAATGATTGAAACTGTTTGATCTCGCTTTTCCTTTTTTTTGCTGTATTCAACCAACTAACCATGTTTTTTTTTAACATGATCCTTTTATTTCAGATGCCAGGATGATAGAACTTAATCAGGGTGAACTGATATCTGAGCACTTAATGTAATAGTTGGCTTGAAGTAGATCTGTTGACTAAAACTTTTAGGGAAAGGATGGGAACCCTTTCAGTGCTAAAGTAAAACAATGAAGGGGTTAGCCTCCGCTATTAAATTCAGGGATTTGAAGTGTTATAACAAGTTGATCCTTATTCATTGTGACCCTAATGTACTGTTAATGGGAATGGCAGCTAGTTAAGTTAAGTTAAGGCAGCTTTGAAAAAGTGATTTTTCAAGTGCCGATGGTACTAGTTTTAGTCAGGAAAAGAGTTGATGGTAACGCAAGTGGAAATTTTAGAAGAATGTTTTCACATTAGAAAATTGTTTGTTTCAGGAAAGTAAAATAAGATATGCACTCACTATTTGTGTGGCCTATTCTTTGCATCATCTACAACTAAATTGACAGTACAACCTCTTAAGCACCTTAGCACATTCATGATTTTTTTTGTGAACTTTATCACAGGTAAATCTAACGTCCTGAGTTTAGAATTCAGCACCAATAAAAGATGCAATCTTCTATGATCTTTCTAGCAATTTTGGACAGCAGTGAAATTTACTGGTTAAACATCTGATTTGCCGTTTAAATGTCTGAAATATTTTAGCACAGATTTGTGTATTTGAAGGCTGGGATTTTGTGACATCTCTGTAAATGTAGCAAACGTTCAAAACTGAGGTAAGATTATAGTAATTATTTTTGACCTGTTTCTAATGGGGGAGAGTGGAGAAGGAGCTTGGAGATTAGTTTCCAAACTAAAACTTTGGAAATGATGGTGCTACTTGGCTGAGGCTGCCAAATAGGAGAAAATGATCTGTTTTGCTGTCTTGACAATCTTCATTTGCAATTTAAAGTTTAATAGCATAAATACTTTGCAACAAACTTTTTATATTGCATTCGGATGGTCTAACCACTCAGACAAGCAGGTACAAAATGTGTAAGTATTGGCTTCTTACTGTCCAATTATTCTGGTTGTATGATATATTTCTCATTTGTCCTATCTTCAAATGTACATCCAATATACAATGTAAATACCTTGTTGAAATTAATATGGCATTAGTTAAAGTTTGCAATAAAGTAAACTGCTTAAATTGTATTAACATGGTGGTGATCCAATATTTATGAAAAATATCCCTTTTGGACAAAAATTCTCAAATGTATTTGTAAACTGAAATTTCAACTTCATCTGTGTTGAGGTTTGGCAATTTTCTTGGGTGCATTTCATTCTATTCTTTGAAATGCTTCAACAACATTAAGCGTAGTCCTTAGGACCTATACCCACTTCCCCCTCCATTCTTGCCAATGCATATCAACCGCATGTTGGAGTCCTTGCCAACGTATGTTTGAATAAGATCAATATATGAAATTATATTGATCGTGGGAATCCCCAGTAGTGCAGTCCTCAGAGTATGCAGTGAGTTAATAACACCTGTCTTGAAACATTTTCTGAAGAGAATTTATTTGTGGGAATTCCTTTTAAAATGACCAGGGGGTGTATCTTAAGACCTTATTGTATTTACACTGATGCTCTTCAATTTGGGGAGGGAAAATGGTTACTCTTCCTGGACAGTCTAGCTTTTCATTCCTAGAAGACAAATTGCATAAACTGCCTTTATTTAAACAAAATTGTATCAATTATTACACCTTTCATTTGGGAATGGTGCTGCAACAGTAGAATTTTAGGATAAGATTTGCTACGTTTCTGGAAGAAATGTAAAGGTATTCAATAATTTTTATTGCAGTTGAAAGGGTTGCTTCTATTAGATTGCAGTATTTAAAGATCTGAGTCTAGATTATTCTTTACTACAGTGTAATGCAGTGATGTGACATTTTGAAAGTGTTCATGAACAGACAGTTTCTCAGTGTTTTAAATTGTAAATAAAAGCAGCCAAGTTCTATGCGTCTGTCAAACTGCATTGTTCAATATTTGTTTTTACACTTGTCCTTATTTTAATCTCTATTACATTTTCATTTAATGTATTTAGAATTAATACTTTAGTATTTGCAGTGTTAGATTACTTTTGATGTAATTGACATTGAAGTTGCAGGAGACTTCAGCTGTTTAATCCAGATAATATTCTGATGCATCTTGAATGTCATCATGTTTTACAGTCTGGTGTCAAAAGTCATTAACTACAGCCTACTATTAATTTGATAATTGTATTCAAGTTATTAAAAGTAATATAATCCCTACATTTGATAAAGCACCAAGAGGACTTCTCAAAGCACTTCACAAGATGTACAGTAGAGTGACTTTTTTTGAAAATGAACGCGGCAGCTGATTTGTGCACAGCAGTGTTTCACGTACAGCCGAGAAGTAATCAACTATTTCGATTTGGGGGTTGTGGGCCAGAATACCAGGAAAAACTGTTTGCTTTTCAAATTGTACAATGGGATCTTTAAAAGTCTATCTGAACAGGCAGACAGGACCCAACGTCTCATCTGAGCGATGGCAAGTCTAACAATATAATCCTCAGCCCTGTATTGGAGTCATCATAGACTATGTGAGTTTAAAGTCCTGATATAAGGCTTCAGAACCACAACCCTTTGATGCGGAGGTCAAAGCGCTACCAACCGAGCCAGGTTGATGCTCACAATTTTTTGTTTGGATGTCTGGTACATGAGGAAACGTTTAAGAGAGTCAAAACCTAACTTGAGTTCTTTGCATCCCACCTATAAATGGAAATCCCAGAGTTATTTGTTGAAATGAAATGTGCAGTATCTGGGCAGCCACAAACCCATAGCTGTCGGTGACCGGAGTGACTACTACTATTGGTATCCCAAGTGGTGGTGTCTCCCTGCTGTGACCCACCTCAGTAGATGGAAGCAACTACCTGTGTTGATAACAGTCTTAGATTACAGCATTGCCACTGAAAGTAACATGAAACTAATAACAGGATTGTTTTTTTTCACAAATCTTGTCAGTTTTGCCGTTCCTTCCATTAACTGCACTTTGAGATGCAAATGCAAGGATTATTATATATGGAATCTTTACTAGCATTTAAGTGCTTACACTCCACTGGATCGGCCCTCTTCGTTCAGCTGGCTCCAGTCTTCTGCATGTCCCTTGTTCCCTCTGCTCACCATTGGTGGCCGAGCTTTCAGCCAACTCTAGAACTCTGTCACAATACCTGTCTGGTCTCCACTTGCCCTTCTTCAGATCACACCTGAGTAACTTTATCTTTGCCAATCATCACCTCCTGCCTCTCTAGCTCAGAGTCCAACTCAGGAACACCGAGACATGACCCTGTGTGAAGAGTGCTATATAAATGCATGTTTTTGTCGGTCAATTCTATTTAATTTTTGAAACCAGAAAATACAAATTCCCACTGATAGCTAAAGGGATCATGATTTTATAAATACAGATGCATGACATTATACTCAACCCCAATGGAGAATCAATGATGGTATTGAGATTTTCTGTAGGTCTTCCTGCAGTGATCCAAATATTTGGGGGATTTGATAAGTTTTTTCACACAGGCTTTAAGAATAGTTTGGATGATTTATTGTGCAATGGAATTCAGAACTGGATAATTCAGCAACATTCAAAAACTTTGAATTTATAAAATATTTACATTTATCACATATGCCTTCACATTATCTGCAATTAATTGGCTCAGCCGTTCATGCAATTAAACTATTTATAGTTGAAACTGTATTTATCTCTGGGCTATCCAACAACAACTTGCACTCATATAGTGCTCTTCACATAAGAGTAGCATCTCGGGAGCGCTTAACAGTGGCAGAGCCTGACTCTGAACCAGGGGGAGGTGACTGTAAGCATGGTCGAAGAGGAAAGTTTTCAGGTGGGACTTGAAAGGGGAGAAGGCAGAGGGAATGAGGGAGAGTGTGCCAGATAATAATATTAGCTTTTGTTTACCACAAAATAGCTAAGATTTGATTTGCCTTTTCATCAATAATCAATATGGTCTCTGCTTAAATTGCCAAGAGGTTTTTCTGATTATCAACAATAGCAGCACACAGTTGTATGCAGTCGCCATCGTACATGTTGCTCAGAGCCCAGAGGATGAACTGGAAAGACATTCAAAGGAACTGCCAAGATAAGCTTGTGCCAACCACCATTATCATTAGCAGGTCTGACCAAGGTAAGTCTAACTTAATTGAGTTTCAATGTTAAAAATAAGGCTCTTAAGATTGGCTTAACAATTCATTAATGCCATAAGTCAATCATTACAAAATGCCATGTCAAATTCTATAATAATCTGCATTTGACATGCCTTACCACAGCGAGGAGACATCTCCAAGAACTTCACGGGATACACTGAAGTGATGTTGCTGTGTGTTTTGTGGGTGAAGTTGCAAGTTAATGGTGTAACTTGGGCTTACTTCCAATGTGGCAGAGTGCTTGAGAACACCTTCCATTCAAGAGTTAACTGTCTTTCACATCTGACATTGTTCAACAACTTGCATTTTTATATTGAAGGTATACTTCAATCAGAATGTGTAAACATATTGGGGGTTAAAGTATTTTGAGTTTACTGACCTAGAGATTGGTTTTAGTGCCCTGGCTTAGGGGGAAAAGCAGAGTTGTTAGCTCCTGATTGCTGCAGGGATCTTTGGTGGAAAGTGCACGTTTGTGGATATTGGGTACAAATAGAATCGGGCTGCGTTGTGATGCCCTCCATGGTGGAATAAACACCTGCCACTCAAAGACCAGGTTCTGTCTTGCGTGGATGAGGCTATCAACGCCTATGAAAGTTAAAAGTCAATGCCTTCAGGAAAAGGAGGAAATTCGGATAAAAATTACTGGAAGTGGGAAAAGTCCTTTCACCTCTGGGAATGAAGTTTGAATCCAGTGGTGATTAATTGTAATGAACATCTGTGGATTTAAAAACACTGAAACTAAACTAACGGATGAGTGGAAAGTCTAGAAGCAATACACGAATGCACCAATTTGGTACTGAAGCAGGCACCACTTTGGTGCCATCATACATAGAATACAATACAGCTCCAGGACTCAGAACTGAAGATATATCCAGGACATGTAAGGCTAAAACACATTTTCAGCCCACCCTTCAGTGTTTAACATAAATAAGACTTAACAAACATTCATTTTTACAACCCAACCAAAAAGATGAATGCACAGGAAAGCAAACTGACATGTGATTAATCACATCAAAAGGTTGCACAATTTATTAAAGGTGCCCATTCAGAACATCGATTCTTAAATAGTACTTTTAGAATGCAATACTAAATATTCCTCATAGTGCATTATTGGAATACCACATTATTTGGGTTTTATAATTGTAAATTGGACATAACAGCTGCTTAATGCTTCAATACAAATAATCTCAATGTGTAAGATAGAAGCAAACTGCATATCTCCAATTAATAATATATCTTTTTAACAAAGGGCAATGGGATAAAGCACTTGACTGGTGGACAATCTTCACTGAATATTGCAAGACAAACATACTTCAAAACAGAGTTGGGTTAACTAAGCTCATAGCAGGAAAATTCTGGGTATATTATTACCATCCACAATGCAAGTGAAGATACTTTTAACAGGCTGAACTCAAACACACACACAGATATGGAATGCTTTTTAATAGTTACAAACCTTATACAATGTACTATTTAACTGACACATGCATTCTTAAACATGAAACAGCTGCAGCAGCAAGAGCTCAAAGTCTTTGATGCAGAAATAGGTTGATTATTATGAGGCCTTGGCAATGTGTACATCAGTGGTTGCACATCCTCCTAGGATTCTTCATTTATCTGAAGCAAAGAATTAATTGCTGCATCCTTGTTGCCTCTTTGTGCTTCCAGCACTGAGCGGATCACCTCTCTGTCCATGTTAGGGAACATATCCTGGATAGATTTAAGATCCTCCTCACTGCAAAGTGTTTGTAGACCAGATACTTGGTTTGGTGCTGCAACCGGTATCATTCCTTGTGTGTAGACTGTTGGCACTCCTGTTAAATGCAGATATGTAAAAGATATATTTATTACAGTGACATTTACAAGCCAATCAAGACATAGGAGTAAACATAATCAATGTCCTAGTTATGAAAAAGCAATGATATGGGAAATGTTTCAGCATGCAATTGTCAAGCTATAAGCAATGATCTTTCATAAAGTACTTACAATGTGCTGAATAGTGAGGGGGGAAAATATAGTTAGTTTATTAGACAACAAACTGGATCAGGTTTTCTACTACAAGAAAAACAAGTGCAATATTTGCTGTGGGCTGGTTAATATCCACTGTTACTTTGTCACTGTATTCTTGTGGGACTATGTGCCCTCAAATTTAAACTAACCATGGATATTAGTTTTCCAAGATTCTTTTGCTAGAAAAACAAAGCAGACTGGAATTCAGCAGCGCATTTGAGTCTGAACCTGCCCCACATACGAAATAAGCAGATTTACAGAAATAAGATTTTGTATTTTTAACTATCTTTGTTGTTTAATATTTCTTGCACTGACATTTTGGGCAGTAATACTAGCAAAGACTATTTGTAAAATTACTATGAATCAAATATTGGATGCAGGTGAACAGTAGCAGCTTACAGGCGGTTCAGACAAGTACAATACATCCATATAGTGTTTAAACCCATAAGGAAGAAATATTAGGGTTTTCAAAATTTTGTATCTGAGGTGTTTATTGGTAACCGTTACCGTACACTTTTATACTGAAAAGGCAATATGATTTTCAAAAAATTAAATATTGAAATTGATAAGATTCCAAAAGTATTAAAAATATTCTTCAATAATTTCTAAAGATACGATTAGATGTCAGCACCAAAGTTAGGAAAGATCCTTCATTCTGTCAATCTGAAATGTAAAGCAAGGAAGTGAGAGGATCTAATATTGTATCAATATAGCTCTATGTCCAAAAGTACTTAATCTTAAATTGCCCACTAAGCATAAATGCCAATTAAAGTTCAAGTCGACTTTTGAAAACAGCAACGTGGAAATCAGCATATAGGTAGGTTACCACTGAACATTTATCAAAATGTAGTTACTTTAATGCTTAAAACACCAAATAACTTAAATGAATATTCCGTCATAAGATAAACATAGGCTGCACACTTCCAATTAATAAGATATCTTCAATAGTAAACTCGAAAACAAAGAACAACTGATGCAGCACCTGTCAGGTGGGCAATCGGAAGGAATGTGCAGAGCCAAAGGCAGTCTTATCTCGCCTTTTGATGTTCTTCCGAACAGGATCATTTTTTAATGAGGAACTGAAAAATTTATAATGGCTATGCTTCGGTTAAGAAAGCAGATCATCACACTAGAAGTGCAGTTTTTACCTTACATCAAAGAGTAAGGCTCAGAGCACTGACAAATGTTGCATATATAACCTTGAATTCATTAATTAGCCTGTATCCATTGCCAGTTGATTGTACTACTGTTATTTGCTGATGGTGTACATTCTTAGTGTGCAAAGCAGAAATAGCATTACCAATACTAATTAGTGAAAAACTTATTTGCAGATATCTTGCAACACTTAAGACATATGCGTAAGCAACAGCCATTGTAAAGTACACAAGCAAATGCATATTTAATGCGTGTTCATGCAGATTTAGCCTGCGAGGAAAGACAGTAAATGTCACCGTAAAACTTACCCAAAGCAAAATACTCAAGCCCTGAAGTTGGTAATGAGAAAATTTAAAGCAACAAAACACCAAGGAGAAGCAACATTAATAACACGTCAGGACATTTTGAACTTAATTAGTAGTTTTGACAAGTCAAACTGTATTAAATTTAAGGACTTCCTACAAGCCACAACCACCTTAGTCCATGCATCATAGATACTGACAAGTTTCTTACAATAAGATCACGATAATGTTAGGTTAAATGCTGTTTAAATTCCTCATTCCATGCATTATAGATACTGACAAGTTTCTTACAATAAGATCAAGATAATGTTAGGTTAAATGCTGTTTAAATTCCTCATTCTTTGTACGTAGTTCAACCTCAACTGAACAGCCCAACCTCCAAAGAGGTTAGGTTTGGAAATATTGAGATACCATCCTTTTAATTGTTTGATATGGTACAGAGGTGATGTTCTCTTTCTCACTCTGCCGCAAACACAAGTTAGATCTGAGTGAAATTTCATAGCGGCTGAAAATAAGCATCAGCAGAGAGATGCCACAAGAGGAGGAAAGGAAAGAGCTTTGAATGCCGTGGTTAAACCATTCAAAGAATGAAGATCTTGCCTGTAATTGATAAAATAACATTCTTTTTCAATAGTTCAACTTTCACATACAGATCATCCAGATGCAAGTAGAACACAAAAGCATGTAGGATCTTCTATTAGCATGTTATAGCCAGTCTGGAGCATAGCAATAACAAAGTACTTGATTTGAGCTAATAAATCAAAAGACATTAACCCTTTGTAAAATCCTGAAGATTATTCCATATTGGTGCCTTGCAGAACAACATGTTGCAGCTAGGCCATTGGGTGGGCATAGCGTGAGTACGTAAAACAAAGTTTCACCTTTTACTGCTGGTTGTTGACCAGCAAAAGAAAAACAAACCGATTCTACCATCCATTAAATATAGTGATTGATTTTCATAATGTTATTGCAAAATACAATTGCTCTCTACTTTGGCACATTTCCCTTTCTGCTTTCATCTGTACTAAACCCTTTCAAAATGGTTAAAAATTCAGCATCATAAACCTGAAATAATTTATACAATTTTGAGATTAGTCTCAGGGCTGCTCTTTCTGCATTTCTATATTTCTTTTGTTGAGCAACTCTTTCATGCTAAGCAATTCAATGAACATTACAAGTAGCTCATATGAATAAAATATTTCAAGGAAAATTAGGATGAAAAGCAAAGCTGAACTTGAATGTTGAAATAGCAGCCTACGCAATATTTCATGTACCTTTCATCTGAATACAGTGCAGAAAGAAGACAATCAGCACAAATACAAAGTTATTTTGCTTTGCCATCTTATATATTTTATGTATATTTATATTATATATTTTGTATAATAACTAAGACGCACACACAGTAGAGATATGTAAACACAGAAACATTTGGACCACAGCATTTCACTCTCTGCTGAAGCGTCTCTTTACCCTCTTCCCAATCCAATCGTTGTAAAAAGCACAGCAGTGAATAGTTTTTTGTGTTTGGAAGAAAGGAAAAGCAAATTGTGACAAGTATTCTATTCTAAGAGGACCCCTTCAAAGAAGATAAAGAGAAGGTTTAAACCTACCTGTAATAGGCACATATCCTACTCCTTGCTGGTAGACAGTGGGCATGAGCACTACTGGTTGTGGCTGCACTAACATGTTTGGCGGCAATGTCTGTTGGAACATAAAAATTCAATTACACAAAAAGAGAGGACAACCAAGACACTCTGAGGCTATCAGAATTTCAATGTCAAGTTTCAACAATGTCACATGAAGTGTACTGACTGCTTCAACCACAAGTGCAGCCTGTACAGAATTTAACATATTGCCTCTGGATTAAAGGAAAGATTTCTGGAGGAAGATAATTTTGAAATAAACTCAAACGCAGCCTAAACATCTTCAGGAAATATAAAAGTGCCCAATTATAAGCTCTGATGAGAACCTTGAACAGTATCACAAGCAGCCCAATTCACATGAAAATAAAACATAATATATTTAAAATATTTCTATGGTAGCCTGGATTTTACTAAATTAACAGGACAAAACAGCAATGAGATTATGGTCTTAAAAGGAACAGAGTTTAAAGAATCAAAACTGATCCGTGATGTTGTTAGGCCTCAACCAAACGGCTTGATCTTGCCATATCTTTTGATGTACTTCATCACAGAGCATAGGTCTTTATCGAGTTTCCGTCTTCAAGAGATGGAAATAGTTCACTAACTGATAACAAATTTGTGGGTCAGACTTGAGACTAAGAATTGCAAACAAAGCAAAACTGTCAAATATCTTGACAAATGGCTGTAAAGTGTTTGTTCTGGAACAGTAACTGTGCCACCTTGCACTTGACATCATGTGCTTTCAGAGATTCCCTCTATGCCATGGGTTATGATAACCACTGAAGGTAGATGATCTTCCCTGAACAGTCTGTTCCTCTTCGGAGTTAATCTATGTAGGCTCCCGAGAGGGAATGAGCAAGACTAAACTGCTACACAAGGACTGTGGATCCATCTTGTGAGGTCAACTTAGTTGGCAAGCAAGTGCAAACTAAAACAAGCTTCGTAAAGTCATAAAAAACACAACTTGTTCCACTTACAGAATAAGACATAACAAGGTTGATCATTCCTTCTTTGTCATCACCTTGCCTTCCACTGAGACTGTACCATTCATCTACTACCTTCCCTTCTTTTAGTGACTCTGGAATAGTTATGTGGGTCCAGGCAATTCTATCATCCATGGAAAAAGCACGCTGTAAATATNAAAAAAACAGTGTTAATTACTATTAGCAAAAAAACTCCCTCGTAAATTTTCATAATGATTAAGTATAACATAACATGAAAACCTTCATAAAGGATGATTTTGATCATCAAACCAAGTTTCCTCCACAAGTCAATGCATGTTCACCTTACAGTGATTTCCTTGCTTTGAACCCCTAAGTTATTCCTGTAACACCCAATTATGTTTGGAAATAAGGTATTTGAAGTAGTAATATGTACAATGGTAACAAAACCCAGATCATAACCTCACCTCATCAAATATCTCCAAGTAAAATGAATCAACACCAGGAGGCACAGTGCACTGAATAACTTTGTTCCACCTTGGGTTTTTTGCTCCATTATGTGCTGTAGGTGTCTCGTACACCGCATACCCAAGACGTATTCTGCAATATGGGTCCATACGCGTCATCCCATAGTTCTTTGCGAGTTTTGCCTGGAGGATTTATAAAGAGAATCAAACCATTTCAGTGCAACCTTAAAAATAAGAGTAGTTTCGCCACAGATTTTCCTGTCATAATCTCATCTCAAGGCAAGAGATTATTCAACCGTTTGTCTTGGGACATTTTAAGAAGATCAAGTCACGTCAGCTGTTGAAAAACGTAATGATTTGGTGGCTAATGAGTTACAATTAGGTACTGGTTTGCCTCAATTGTTTCCCAATGAAATTCAGCTGCTGAAAAGCAATGAATGAAATAGAATGACAATAAATTCCATCGTGCCATACTAAGCAGCAAGAGTTGGGCCATTGTTGCTTGGTTTTGGAAGAAGTGTGAACACAGTGCAGAGCGTTTTCTTAAAATAAGTGGCCCTTTAAACATACAGGAATGAAGAGAAGAATTGTTTTTACAAATTTGTAAGTGAAAATAATTTCCCTTTGTAGAAGTTATAGTGAAAGGCATCAAACTCTGGGTGGAGTCTGTTTCAAAGTAAAATCTTTATTGCTGCAGGGAATAATGGAATGCCCTAAATACAACCAACCATCAGTAGAACAGGCATGCAGATGGTATCTCTTCTGTATCGAACACAATTACACCAATTATACATTAGGGTTTTAAAAAGGACTTGACAACATGCAAAGATAAACTTTGTATAACATTTGGTCAGTGTTGAGAACATTTAGTTAGAGATGACTGTCAGGCTAAATAAATTAAACAAGGGTTAAGGCAGCCAGGCACATATTAAATGTACACAGTGATTCTTAAGTAGCTAGTGAAATATGTCTGTTATTTATTGTTCGGGCAGGTATATTTTAGGGATTCATTGATAATGGGACTGATACCTAAGAATTGAGGCAAAAAAAAAGAAAACCTGGGTAGCTATAAGCTGGTGAATCTGAAATCTGTTGTAGGAAAGATATTGGAGGGCATCTGGTGGATGGAAATAATGCACCATCTGGAGAAACAATTATAAAAATAACTAAACCTGTTTTTATGGGAGGGAGGTAGTGAACTGAAGATTCTATTCGATTTTACAGAATTATAAATTTTACAGATTTATTGTTGCCTTGTTTATACTTTGTCTGCCAGAAGCAACTGGGAGTTACAATTTGTGATGGAACCACACAAAATGTCTGTTCTTGAACTATTAATTGACTAGTTTTTAAAGAAAGGATTAATAATGATACGACATGTCTAAGAACAAAGACATCTTTCTAAATCTTAAGTTACTTGTTTCAGGACCTCAAGATTGTGGAAATCCTTACCTATTTAGTCATTCTTTCCCATAATTTTCTGACTTTTAAAATGCAAATTTAGGATCCCCTGTGCCTTTACCTTGCCCTCACTCATTCTTAACCTTGGTGGAGTCCTGCATACTGAGATTGGGCCCTTCAGCTAAATTTCTGAACTGTAGCATCACCCATCTAACACATAATCGAACAAAATGGCATGAATAATGCTGATTAACCTTGCAATATCTTTGAAAACGCCATTGTTGCATAGGAAGGGCTCCAGGCAGCGTCCAAAAGTGATCACTTAAAAGTGAGTTAAACCCAAACTATACAATCTGGCATCGAGAAGTAATCTTGAAGATTAGAAGTAAATAGTTGAAATGTGTAACCAGATTAAAAACTACAGCTTTGAAAATTAGTTATTTCTTATATTCAGTTGGTAGATTTTCTCTATGGACTTGGTCAGCAACAGTGAAGTAGGTTTTGTGTATTTATATTGCATCACTCTTGAGTCATCTCACTGTCATCTAAAGGCTCAGACTGAAGCAGTAAATTTAACTTTAAAATGTTGACTCATTCTCCTAGTTCAAAAGTGAATGGCTTAAAATATTCCATACAACTGCAGTAATACCTGTCTGCTTAACCTGGCTGATTATCATTTAGCCCTTTTATCGAGCTATTCATACCACAGAGCATCAGAGGAAGGGCTAAACAGGTGCCGAATTTGACTTTTAATAAGAAAACCAAATTATTCAAGAAACAAATGTACGACTGACTGGGAGTTCATTAGTGGATGGAGCACAATCTCCTTGTTTTCAGCGCAATGATTCGCCTGAAGCCTTTTTGTGTCAGCAACAAAGAGAAGCACGTACATGGACTTTTAAAGCAATCTACCAGGTTAGACATACTTTGTTGATGATCAGGATTTGATGATCTGCAAATCTATACTGTGTTTGCAGTATAGAAAGATTTTTTAAAAAACTGTACCTGCACAACTGTGATGCTGAGCCTCCCCATGGTGGCCATGCTTGGTCCATATTGTAACTCTTGCGCTGCCTGGGCATCAAGTTGAACTTGATGCTGTTGTTGAGTTGGCACAATCCGAAGGAAGTCTTGGGGCAACTCCCCAACAAACACCTTACATTTTTGAAAAAAAAGAACATTAAAATATATCTTTACAATGTGATTTGTGAAGCGCTTTGAGATGTTTCAACGATGTAATAAGGCGCTTTATCAAATTCAAGGATTATTATTGTTGTTGTTATTAAAATGTTGTTCTTTGCTTCTCGCCTCAAGCATTGCCAATTCTCTGGTTACAGGTTTGTATCACTCGTATTGTCCAAGCCTCTTTGTCCCAATTTTGGTACAGCTGATGCAAAGCTCGGTTATTACAGAACTAGCAGTTTTGATCCCTGGTCTATAGCAGTACTGAGGTCATTACAATTTCTCTCAGCATTCCTAGATAGGGAGGGAAGAATTGCTGTGCACATTCAGGTCTTGAAGATACTATAAAGATAAAAGCTAAAGGTTGCTAAACTAGCTTTATTTCAAAGTGCAAACTGACTTAACACTAATCCTTGCATTTGATGTCTTTGAGACATCTCAAAGCGCTTCAACGTCTCAAAGACTTAAAATAGAATAGGCAAAGAGAGTACCTGAATTAGCATCACACACAATCTTGCGTATCACTTTACACGTCTAGCAAAATTATTCACTTGCAATGCATGTCAGTCTCAATGCACGTGAAGAGATTCTGCTTTATGATAAGTTGGTTGGAGAACTTGGAAGAATAGGAAAGGTGTGTAGTTTTGCCTTTCCGTGAGCAGGATGTGTCCCTCCAAGGAGAGAGTGCGCATTCCAGTGGAACAATCTATCTCTGGAATTTCCATGTGTAGGTGGGATGCGTGGAATTCTCAGTTTGGTTAAGTGTGGTGATGGGTTTCCGAATGTGCCAGACACCTGGCTGACCAAACAAAAGTGTTTAGTTGGCCCAACTGAATATAACAACTATTGGATGGCTATTTCTCAGGTCAGCATATTAAGGGATATGGGGCAAGGGTGGGGTAATTGGCCTTGGAAGTACAGATCAGCCACGATCTTATGGAATGGCGGAACAGGCTCGATGGGCTGAAGGGCCAACTCCTGTTTCTATGTTTCTAACTGTTTTCGCCCCAGAAAGGGGTATGGAAATAGTGCTGTTCATCTATTAGATTTTTTTTTAAAAAAAGGAAAATTGAACACTTTTGAACCAGATCTTGATGCATGCGGTGAGTGCACAGAACTATATATTGGTGTGTTATTGTTCACGCTGCCTATACGTTGGCACGTATTGATTTAGCTTCAAAACGGACAATCAATTCACTTTACAGTATATTCCGTGAAGCGCCTTGAGACGTCTCAACGCCGTGATAAGGCGCTACGTCAAATGCAAGATTATTACTATCATCGTCGTCGTCGTCGCCGTCATCATCAACATTGCTCGCTGCAAGGTGGAAAAGGGAGGAGGAAAATCCCCGCTGCGGTCCGAGGAAGTGACTCAGGAAGGTTTAAATCCTTTAAGGCTGTGGGGGAGGATTCCGATGGATTTCGACACCGGGCTGGTCAGGCGTGTCGGGGGGGGGGGGGTGGGGTGACGGTTGTGTGTGTGTGGGGGGAGGAGAGAGAGAGAGAGAGACAGCAAAGTCTCCCATTCACTCACTCTCTCTCTGTCACAAAGTGTTTACAAACAGGAGCCCAACACCAAACGCCTTGTCAAAGGGGACTTGACCCGAGGGGACAAGGTCCTCTGTGTGTGGGTGTGAGGCAGAGGCGGTTTGGTGTGTTTTTTTGGGGGGAGGAGGAGGGGTTTAAAAGAGGTAATGTAGAAAAACAATCAGAAATAAAAATAAGGGCAGATTGGAGGGGGGGAGGGAGGGAGGGGTTGGGGGGGAGGAGGGGTTGGGGGGGGGGAGGGAGGGTGGGGGGGGAAGGTGACACCAGCTGCGTAAATGGGCCGAGCACCGAGAGACTGACAGACAGGGGCGAGTCCCCGGGCCTGACTGGCGGGGATGTGCCGGTGGCTCTGACGGTGGGGGTGGGGGGAGTGTGTGTCCGTGTGTGTGTGGGGCCTCTTCCCCCCACCGCCCCCGGGATAGTGTCTCTCTTACCGGGCCTCTCTGGGTGGCGATAGTCGTGGCCGCCATGTCGCTGTCTTCCTCTCCCCCCCCCCACCACCCGCCCAACCGCCGCCGCAGCCCGGCCACGCCCCGTCGCACGCTCATTGGCCGGGCGCGCCGTGACGTAGTGACGGCGTGACGGCTGACCGTCATGACGTCGGCGCGGCGCGGTGACGACAGACGCGGTGACACCCCTCCCCCCGCACTTGTGCTAACAACAACAACAACCACCACCACCACAATGGCGGCGTCGTGGAGACGTCTCAAAGCGCTTCACGGGATAGGCCGCAAAGCGAATCGACTGCGTAGTCTGTGGGCGAAAGGCGGCAGCAGTGACGCGGCTCCGCCAACAGCCGCGGAGCGAAGTGACCCGAGTTTTATTAGCGTTGTTGTTGTTGTTGTTGTTGTTGTTATTATGGTCGTCGTCGTTATCGGTGTTATTGGGTTTTTCTTTTGGGAAAAAAAAAAGGATGATTGTCCCCGGATTCCGCCGACAGCACCGCTCGCCGCCTCCACGGCCGTTACCGCCGCCTCTTTCCCCTCGTCCGCCGCCCCCGTCCCCCTCGCCCGTCTTCGCAGGGCTTCCCGTCCCCACAGGAGGGGATCGAGTTCAAGATCCTCACCGTTCAAGCCCCCCAGGGTCTATCTTGCCCCTCCCCATCTCTGCGACCCACTAAACCTTCACCAACCCTCCGCCCGGCGGGCACTCGCTTGCTCCACGACCCCGCCCTCGCTCGCTCCTCTCCTTCAGCCTTCCTGCCCTCATCACTGCCCATCATCATCCCCCCTGGAGTTTCCTTGCCTGGCCCCTGCCTTGCCTCCTTAAGGGCCCGTCTCAAGACCTTCTTCGACCGTAACTTCCTCTGCGATCGTGCCTTTTGGTCATATTCCCACCCCCCAAAACACCCTTGCTCTTCACCCATCTTTACTCTAGCCCCCAGCTCGGGTGCAAACCATTCACTGTCCAGTGCTTTGGGACGCCCTCCTGCGACATGCCTCGTAAAGTTGCCTCTCTGAGATGTGCTTTGTAAATGCAAGTTGTTGTTGGACCATGTGAGTTCAAAGTCCCAATATGGGCTTGAGCCCACAACCTTCTGAATCAGAGGAAAGAGCGTGACCAACTGAGCCAGGCTGACACACTTAGTAAACAAAATAATATTAATCTTTGTATTTGATACAATGACTTATCCCGTCAATGTTTCAAAGGGCTTCACAGAATTCTTCTGTAGAATCTAGTGACTTTGTATTTGTAGCTATCCTTTCTCAGCACTATGTTTAGATGGAAGTAGATTAATCTGTGAGTGAACTCAAGGGTGCATTGCACCATTTTGCAGAATGTTATTTTTAGTAATCATCATTGTGTCTGAGCACTTACCAATTTTCACTTATGTAAACAGTACATACTATAACGATAAATAGTAAAATCATTACTGCCCATCCTTGGGCTATCGATCTGTCCGTTAATGTCATGTGGATGTAGACAGAAGACACCTTGGAGGATGTAGATGGTGTGGTGTGATAGATCATGATCTTCCTCCTCTGGGTGTTGGGTTAAAATCCAGCTTGGACCAAAGGGATCAAAGTTGCTGCTCTGTTGGCTGTAAGGACCCTATTTCAAATGAAGTTGACCAACCCACAGCACAAAACTGTCCATAATTTGGTCCAATTTGGCAGCATCTTGTTAACATCTTCACTGGAAAGCAGTGAACGGGTTCTCCGTCAGCTGCAGCGAATGGTTTCTTAGTGAGCAGCAATAAACTGCTCTTTTAAGGTGTCTGTCGTTAGCACTGATGATAACAACAACAACAACAACAACAAGATTCCATTTATAAAGCGCCTTTCACGTCAGGAGGACATCCCAAGGCGCTGCACAGTTGGGTCAGGACCCGAGCAGGGGGGAAATGGTCAGGGTGAGGGGAGGGAAGGGAGGGAGCGAGGAGGGGGGAAAATGGTCAGGGTGAGGGGAGGGAAGGGAGGGAGCGAGGAGAGGGAAGAGAGTCGAGAGTGGAGCTGAAGGCTCGGTCAAAGAGAAAGGTTTTGGGACCGGCCTTGAAGGAGGAGAGGGATAAGCATTGATGTGGCACAGTGACTTGGAGCTCTGCTTGCACAGTCCTTTACCATACCTAAACACAGAGAGCTGGCTGGTTTTAAAAACTACCACAGTTTTGTAATGTGGGTTGGTGAACTCGATTTTAAATAGGGTCATTACAGCCAGCAGCGCAGCAACTTTGGTCCTTTTGTCCGAGCTAGATTTTAACCCAATTCCCAAAGGAGAAAAGATAATGATCTAACACACACTACGCCATCTACATAATCCAAGGTGTAGGAAAGCTGCAGTGAACTCTGCTCCATTCATGTGTGATTCAGTAAAGAATGCTGAAACCATTAAGGCACATGATTACATATTAATTGGTATGTTGACTGGCATATGCTGCTTGGCATATGCTACAAGAAAGGTCATGTCAAGCCAATGAGAGGTTGATGTAGATTATGCAATGATATGGTTATAAAGGAGCATTGCTAATTGAGTTGTAGTGGCAATTTGTGTCAAGGATGGCAAGTGCCCTACTAGCCTGTATGCACGGTGGCCTTGTGCCAAAACTATTATGTCCAGGAATATCTAGTGAGATATTTTGATAATTATGCAGTACAATGCATATACCTTGACAATTATCTGAGACCTAGAGGTCTGTAGACACCCCAACTGCATCTTCTGCATGATTTTTATCTGAAATTTTGCAAAGGATGTGTGTTTTTACATTCACAAATACCGGTTGGTAATCCAGGTTGTGTATGAATTGAGTGAAATAATTTTCTACTGGAGATAATATCTTACTCACTGAAGCTGCATTGAGTCGTTTCACATGAGCGCCATCAGTTTTTTTTGCATGATGGATGCAGATCCTGGTAATTTATAGAACTGTACTTCTCTTTTTCTGCTACGGAGGGTCTTCGGCAGGTAAATGTAACAATCTTTCTGAATGACCCAATGTGGCTGTCACCAAGGAAAATATGTACATTGTAAATTGACATCTGTTCCAAAATTCCCAGGCAGCGATTGGAATGAATAGGTCACTCGGTAGTTGAGAGCTTCCAGCACCGTCGATGTAAAATCCAACAATTTAAAACAAAATCCAAAGCGACACCTGTAGACGACCTTGCAGTTCTGCAGATAGCGTTGCAAAGAATCGCTTGTCTGTGTTTTATAAAATTCACTTAACGTGATTTAATCATCTGGGTTTGTGCTCACAATGTACCCGCCAAAGATAATAATAGTCCTTGCATTTGATATAGCCCCTTATCATGCGTCCACTGCAAAATGAATTGACTGCACATTTTGTGGGCGAATCTCGGCAGCCAATTGCGTAAAGATATCCTTTGTTCAACCTCCCCTTGCATTTGGTTGTCCTCCGACTTTTCTGAACGTACCCATCGTATTTCTGGGTTGACCGAGATCAGTGTGTGTTTCAGTCCCTCTAGTGGAAGAAAGCAGAAGTTGGTCATTGTTGTGTTTATGTTGAGGTACAACAGCAAGATACATTTACACAATTCCCGGTTATCAGCCTATTTGAAAAATATTGCTGTAGGATAGTGAATGTGAATGAACTTTTCAGTTAAATTTAATTTTGATTTGATTGAAAACCAAACCTAGGCTTCTATCGTGCATTGCAAAACATTGTCGTGTTGATTTCCACTCAATAGCAATATTGCACATCATATATACATTCAATTTATGTTTTAAATCCCTAAATTGGTTTGTCTATAATAAAAATATTTTATTGATGGCTTCATTTACAAAAGCAGCATTTGGTTTGCTTAATCGTGTGCTAAGCAAAACGTATTGCCCTCTGGTGGACAAGAAATGCTTCCTCAGTGGAGAAGCTGAAAGAGCAAAAAGCTGCCTCGGGTAACTAAATAAGACAAAGTCGTTTGATTGCTACTTGATGTCCGGTAATCTGTAACCTGGCAGATACAATAATATCAACTGAAGAAGTGGCATTGAACATGATTTACTGTTGATAATTCCAGCAATGAAAGCTGATTGCTATTTAGGATGCAGCAAAGCAATTTTCTCTCTCTTGTTTCAGTGCTATTGCTGCTTGCTGCCCAGGGCAGTGTGTCCAATAAAGTTGTGCTGGTGTCAGCAATGCAGTTTTTGCATACAAATCAAATCTTCCGTCTGCAAAGGCAGAGTATACACCGGCATGAATTCCAATGTAGGAAAGGGTTTAGCCATGAGTCTTCAATGGGATGTCTGGAAATCCTTCGTTGGTTGGTGGCAAGCTGTGAGTGTCTTTCCGGCTGGCCTATGATTGTAGGATGTTCTTATTCACCAATGTTTCCCAAAGACTGAGTGCTGTGTGCTTCGAGATCCCGTATGAAGGGCGCTATATAAATGCAAGTATTTGTTGAGTATTATGGTTCTGATTGTTTGAATTTGTGCTTGTTTGTGTCTGTTGGCAGAGCTGGATGACACATTCCTTTGCTTTGCTGTGTTTAGGAATACTGGAGTGAAATATCTTGTCCTTTTGGTCGCCATTCAATACCTTCCTCAACTCATCTAAATATTTCATGAGGAATATAACATATTTATGATGCTCAGCTTATGGTTCTATATACAGTGTTGTTGTCAGAAGCTCCGGCCATACTCTCTTTCACAATATGTATGAGCTGGAGATCTATTTCTATCAGTTGTAAATACATGAGCTACATGTTGTACTTCTCTTTTAGTATTGATGTTTATCCTCTTTTCTGTCAATGATTCACTCTGGTGAACACTCTTCAAGAGTTTCTCCATTGGCTCATGCATTCGATTCACCCATATCCTGCAAGCACCATCAGTCTTCAATCGTTTATAACTACCGGATGAGTATGGAATTATAGCCTAACAATAGCTCTTTTCTAATCTCGTTTCTTTTAGGGGCACTTTTGCAAAACGCCCAAATATGTCAGGAGATGGAACCCACCAAGACTAAGGCTGAGATCATCATACTCTTGAGGCTTTTCTCTGGGCGGATATTAGCTCATCTCATACAGAACTAAGGCCTCTGAAATGACCATAAATTTGAGTTAAC